CCCCCTACTTCGCCGGTCGCCTATAATTACTCTTAGGCCACTTTTGAGTGCGTTTCGCCGAAGAGTAGTAGACTCTTGGCTTTTACCGAAGGCGACCTCGACATTGTTGTTGAGATACGGAAAGTGGCCCCAGGACGGTGCTACTTTTCTACTGTAGTACAGAAGAGGGACGTCGAGAATGCGCCGCCGTCGCCAGCCAAACGCCACTTTTGTCCCCTTATCAAAGTGTTATCGCATAGACGCCACCCTAATGGACTCTAATCAACATCGACGGAAATGTGGCTACATTACAGCAGTAATGTAATAACACTCAAATTTCGGTTATTTTATATCTTCAAGAAAAAGAATTTCGAACTTGAAAGCTATGATACCATAATAGTATGGATCAATTTTTTTTTGTACATGTAAATGAATATTTCATTTTAATTTATATTTTCTTTTTTGTTTCTGTAATATGCATTTTGTTAATGATTAATCGTCGCAAAGTTGAGAACACAGCACATGGGAACCCGACCATAGCGGGTAGACCTTTATATCACTATTATTATTAGCTCATCTGACCCAATGACCAAGCAATATTCAACTCCCCCTCCAGTTGAATTCATTTTTTATTCTGAAAACTCCTGCGTTATTAATGTAACTACAGGGAACGGCCACCAGCACCGGTGGTCTAATCGTTCGTCAAATGAGTACCTTGTGGACTCTTTGGCGCCTAAAAACAAAGATCGGACGTGTACGAACAGGTAAATGGCATTGTGACTAACCCAGCGACGACTGCCATAAATAATACCTTTGAGTGGGTTTTCAACTTCACACAAAAAATATACAAAAAAGATTGGATGAACTTAAAAGTGAGTACAGGTAAAAGAAATTGGTGATAACAAGATTTTTTTGGTGTTTATAAATAACAACTGTCCAAAGATTCCTTGAAAAAATTCAACGTATCTTTGTTTGTTTTTTTTATTAATTAAGTATAACACATTTTCAGCAATGTAAAACGTCAAATAAATAAAGAACGACGTAGCCATTTAGACATCTTGATGGCAAAACGATCCAATTGCATTAAGACGAAGCAAACAAACGTATCATTTGCATCCATTAATAATAAAGCGACGTACTGACGGAGGACGAATGTGAAAGCGAAGGAGAACAAAGGAAGAGAAATAAAGAGGGAAAGAACTCGACCCCCTTCGGTAAACCAAACAGTGGATTTTGTATTCTTTGTTTTTTTGTTTTTTAGCCGAGGGCCATTGTTTATGGGACTGGTTAGCGATGATCGAAGTAGTGACTCGCGCCGAACATTCATCACTCTGCGGGGTCGGGTACGAACCCAGTCGCGGCCGGCCCTCGGATCTTGAATCTCCATCGGGCTACCTCTAGAAGAGGGTCTTCATTGCCAAGGCTCTATTTGCAATGCGCGGCCGTGGGACACCTGACCCGGCCGGATGAAACGAAAAAATCGCGCTACAAATGACCCCGGATGGGATGTTATTTATCGCTCTATCTAGCCGAAGTTCTGCGCGGCTTAGAAGGTATATAATGTATGCTTTCTTATAGTTGGTGACACATTCTGCTGAAATATAGATCTTTAACATTGAATTATAACGATGATAGTAAAATAAATACCACTATATTTGTAGCCTAATTTAGATTAAGCTCATTCTATGCACGAGTAATAAAAAGTCGCCGATGAAAAATGTAAAAAAAGCTGAAAATAAAAGTAATGTGCGAAACTAGAATAGTGGTGAGTAAATTAAAAAAAAATAAATAAATTGGCTATCGATGTATTACCCTGAGGCAGTTCGTTGGTTCATAACACGTTCATCGATATAATTACAACTTAATTAGTTTAACGACTTAATCTGATGTTTGGATAGCAGCAATTGTCGTGTATTATTATTATGACTGTAATTTTCAAATTAAAATTTTTCTAACAAAAAACTTTAGGATAAAACCACAACGTAAATCATTAATCTTTAGCTTCTCTTCCAGGTTTTGTCACAAATCTAACTAATTTTGAAACTGATTTTGATGGATTCATGGAGTCATTATACCAGATCAGCGCATGATAATCAATACATATGTAAATCGGGTATTCTTCCTGGGTCACTCTTCAGATACGATGGAGATCTGCTCCTAAAAAAAAATCCGTTGAGCATTCTTACTTCTAAATTATGATTTTCAGAGCAAGCAACATTGATTGAGGAGAAGCAGTGAATCAAAAACTCGTTTAATCTGCAATCAGCAATATGCAATATCATTGTTAGATGGTATCAATTAAATCAAGTCACTTCAGAGCAAATCGATATTGCAGCTACCAAAATATTGATGGATGTTTCAATATTTACTACAGGCGATAGTAGATATTGAAAAGTTATAATTATGGCATCAATATTTACAAAGAAAGCTCTTTATGTATTTGTTTAAATGTATTGAAAATATATTACATGGTCCAGTGTTCTAAAATTGTATGTGATTTTATTCGCAGTGCATAGAAGAAGTTGTTATAACTACCATACTAAGTAATTAAGTTATTATCCCTTCGTCGGGTGCAATTGACCTGACAGGCACAACTAGAATGGTTCTATTCTTCTTTTATTAGCTTCTATCAGCTTTGTTGAAACTATCTTCGAAACCTTTTCAGTAGCACTATGTCGTCGCGGCGTTGCACAATAAAGTTTTGTTGTAAAATTCTGCGATCTACTTAATCCAAGTCATCCTGAAAATATATCTACTTTTCTTGAAGATGGCAAGGAAGGCATCTCAGATAATAAAAACTTGGGAGAGAAAAGATATTAATTTTTAAGATGACATTGAAAATTAATGATTGATTACTGGTTGAAAATTATTGAAGATGACTACGATTAAGAAACGAAACAAGATGGCGAGGAGTTTGAAAATGACAACGAAGCTAAACGATAAACCATTCCCGAGGAATGTTTAGATGATCTTACAATGTTGTATGTATGTAAGGAAACGGGAGTGCATGCGTTCCCGTTCCCATTGGACCCCTATCTTACAATGTTATGACAACATCCGGGAGTTACAGGAAGCAGTAAGAATGATCAAATTGTGGTTAATTGTTGGGCATAATTTATTTACAGACATTTTGGATATGATAGATATACAAACCAGTATATTATATAGATAAAACATTAATTTTTTAGAGAAAGAGACATCACACGCACAGGAGCTCTCAGCGGGAATCGTCAAAGCTTGGTCAGAGATTTCTTGTATCCCTGCTTCATAACGACGAAATCAGCAAAAGAGATTAATTCCCAAATGATTTAGCTCGCTAATAGATTGGATGCGTTACGACGAAGAGTTTTTCTAAAAACGTTATCTCACCATTTGACGATTGACTCAGTTTGAATAAGCACCAAAACTTCAAATACGACTGAAAAGATTCCGTCCTTTCGCAAATTATCTAGAAAATACAACCCACATGCAAACAGGCGTAGGTGCTTAACCTGTAGAACTAAAACCGGTTTCAGAAGGATAACAAATTATGAATGTAAAAAAAGTCAATCTGCCTCTATGAAGCAAGCTCTGCTGCCAATTAATGTAATGCCCGTTTTTTCTTGAACGTCAGCTAACAGACATTGAACAATTACTATAATTTTTTCTAAACTTTAAATATTGTCGTTTTTTAAAAATTATGAAGTACAAATGCGTTCTATTGCAATATATTTTCCTTTTCTTACATCAAACTCCCCAGTGAACGTCAATGAATACATTGCGCTCGAATCTGAATCTGAACTTATATTGCGCCAGGCGAAAGGTTAATCATTTTAATCCCATATAACTTAAATGGAACAACATTCTTGACAAGATAATGAATATTCAGATTTCACAGAAAAGATTAATTCTTATAAAGTTATTACGAACGCAACCTGTTTTAGCGACTGATTTGTTCTCAATATAAAACTGGAAAATTTATTTTTTAAGATATCTTAAATTTGTCTAGTCGAGTCTCCTGGTCAGCAATTAAATATGCGTTTTTAAGAAAATGTTTTGTCACCATAAAATGAAAAATTAACATCGTCTAATAACTTTCTTGGAGCAAAACCTTGGCACGCAACACCATTACTCTTTCTGCATGTTTCTCCTACTTTGCAGGCCATTACTATTGACTAAAAAGTAACCTTTAATAGTCGTAACGCTGGGAATAATTTCATTAAATTTGTTTTTGTGATGATCTTTTTCATCTATTAAGCGGACGTAATTGGAAGCCATCATAATAATATATCGTTTTCCATTTTTCTTCTGGTGGTACAGACATACAAGAAGGTTGTTGTTTCACCATAGTCTTATTCTTCTCATGATGTGGTAATCATAAATATAGTAACCAAACATCTGCAAAAAAAATTTAAATTAATTAGTTATACAATATAATGATAAATGGACTTTTTTCAAAATCTTAAAGTATACATACCAGTCTAATGTCGATACCCCAAAAGTTTTAGTGCAGGAAACGAATGAGACACTCAATTAATAAAAGTCCCTTAATTAAAAATAGCTTATAAAATTAAAAAATTAGTGTTATTTGAATTTAGGTACCTAAAGTAATAGGATTCATATAATCCAGTTATCAAGATTTCTTCCTAGATCCGATACTGCACTGAAACCAAAATACTGCTAAAATTAATCACGTTGAAATTAATTAACTGTATTAATTCAAATTAATGCAGTGGTGTGGACCAGTTATCATCATCCAGATCAGTTAACCGGCGAGTTTAATCTATGGGACAAGTAATTGGAATAATATAAACTTGGGATTATACACTGCTCAGTAATTTTGAAGAAATTGTAAATATTTTCTTTAACATAGACTACACTAATATCATTTTGGGGATTAAAAGTGGATACAGATATCTATCAAATGCATTGCTGTGGTGACATCTGCCATTAAAGAACCGAATTTTTAAAAATTGTAATAAATTACAGAAAAATTGGGCTAAATCGAAAAATGTAGTTTGCCATTTCATAAACAACCAAAATTAAGAAAAAATATCCTTTAATATCAACCTTAAAATTACAACAACCAACAAATTTAACAAATTATAAAATGCAACTTATTGGCAGTCTTAAAAAGTATTGTATAAAAGATCAATAAACTAAAAACAAAATATCTTTGAAAATAATATCAATCACTCCTCAAGTATTTCCCTTTTATACTTAGAAATTGGATAAATATTTTCATCAATCTTTAATTCGTCTTTAAGTCCACTATTTCCTTGACGTTTGCGATCGTGAGTCAATAAAAATTCAGTAAGAAGACCTGCAAGAACGTCCGGATTATTTAAATGACAATGATGCGTTCCTGGAACATCATGGAATTGAAAATCTTTGCTACTTTTTTTAAGAGTTTCTCGTAAATCATTAATGATTTCATGGCGTCCAAAGAAAACACTATCACGTGCCCTTGCAAGAAACAAAGGGATTGTAATTCTTGACGCCATTTGAATAACTTCATTAGGATCATGATAATCAATCGGTCCGACTTTCACTCTTGCATCCCTATTAAAAAAGAACCTTCCTGGATGCTTTTTTGATGGAGTTATATTTCTGTATAAAATGAACTTAGCAACTTCAACATCAATAGAACTTTTTGAACCAATGTGCGTTCTTTTAACCATTTCATCAAAAGTGTAACTTGGAGGTTCATCACCCTTTCTATTAAGTGAATCATATTTGATAAATTCTTCAATACTTTTCGAAATAGTATCTTTTTTATTTGTAAGTAAAGGGTACAACCTATCAATGCATATTGCAATATCTACATCATTAGGAAATAAAGCACTATAAAGAAATGTAGCTATTCCTCCCATTGAGTGCCCCATTAAAGATATTTTCTCCCAACCAAAATACTCTTTTACTCTCTTAATAGTAATACAATGATCAATATCATGATAAAACATCCCTGGAGGAATTTGACTTGAAAAACCATGCCCAAAAAAGTCCAAAGCTAACACGGGTATGTGTGGAGGCAATAATGGAATCAATCTATCAAATGTTCCACAATTATCCTAAAAGAGAAAAAAACATTCAATGAACCATGTTTATGATACTCCAATAAAATACCTGCCATCCGTGAAAAGCTAAAATAGGCCTACGATCCTCGGGACCCCACCATTTCCCCGATAAATAACCACTTGCTAGCGGAATTCTTACTTCTAACGAACTTCGAAGCATCGAAAGATTTCTCAAATTATTCACGCTAACCTTAAATACCTTCAAAACCATTTTTAACAAACACTTTTAATCATTTAACGAGGAAAATGTGGTTTTAAAGTTCCAATATGGGACTTAATACTAGCAAAGGAGGTTATGTTGTAAATGCATTTGCGTAATTACTGTAATGACCCGCATAAAAATGAAGTGGAAAGTTTTTTAATGTAATTTATAACTAATTTATGAACATAATAAGTTTTTGAAATAGTAAATAAATAAATTATTCTTAAAATACAGATGTTGATATTTATACATGTACTATTTATATAGAATGTGTAAATTCTAAATAAGACAGCATAGAATATAGGTTTGTTCATTTCCTATGACTCTCCATGCAATAACCCAAACTTTAAATATTTGTGCAAATGCCTAAAAACAATATTTACTATTTTAAAATAGGAGGATCGGATATACTAACTAAAAAATACTCTATTTTGTGTTAAATTTCAAGAAATGCATAAAGTTGTTCAAACATAAAATGGGTTACAATAAATTAAATGACTTAAGACCTTGACAACCTACTTGAAAGACTGTCATTGTAATATACAACCAGAAGGTGAAAAATTTAATCTTAAAGGAATTAACTAAAATGAATTGATGGATTTGAAACGGAAAATGAATGGAGAGTATAAAACGGAGGACGTGTTTGAAGGTCCATAATAAATTCAACTCAAATTGTTTTGAATATTTATTCACACATAATCTGTTGTGCTTATTTAAAATCTATTATTACTAGGGATGCTGTATTAAGAAAAAAAACTAGAAAAAAAAGTAAAGCTCAGTCTGACCTGAAAGAAGCGCTCGTAATGTTAGATTGGTGGGTAGCGAGAAGACGTGAATTTTGTTTTCTGTTTTGAGGGAGCTTGAACACATCCACAGCAAAAGATTCTTGTTTGCTCTTGAGACCTAGTAATATTTTGATTATTTTTCAGGAAAACGGCAAGTTTTTTTTTGTAAAAAAACACGCGAAATTTGATATTGACTGTAAGATTGTTTGTCATCAGACTCTTGCTGAAAGTGAGAGAGCTTGCCGTTGCGAGCGGTCTGATGTCTTCAGGCAAAACGGATTCTTCAAGAGAGTTGCAAAAAATTCTTCTAAAGAAAATTTTCAATTCTCTTGGTTTCGCACGGTTTGCTTTTTCGACTGTTTTTTCATAGCTGACATTTTCTTAGTGAAATATCGCCTCAGTGTGTTAAATGCAATTTCAATTTCTTTAAACATACTTCAATTTCATCCAATACCACGTGTTCTTAACCCTTTTTAAAACAAAGGAAAACAATATTAGTGTGGAAGGAATTGTTTATTCAGTTGCTTACCTAAAGGATTCACATATCAAGATTATATTGAACAATTATTAATAAACTATATTGGATTCCTTGTACAATTTAGAAATGTGTAATTATATAAAACCAAATAAAGTAAAGTTAAATAAAAACAGAAATCGTCTGAGCTGTTTATTATAATAACATTTCCTTATTATTCGTTTTTTGAACCATTAATTTTTCTTCACATTCATACTTCGGTATCCATAAAAAATTTTGTCAATAACAAAAAGAAAACTATTGAGTCTAATCAAATCTACTTATTCCGTTTTTTTGGTAAAAAACAAGTTATGCAACATACGTACAAAACTTGAATAGGTTGCAAAAGAGGGAACAACTTAGGCTCAAGTCATACAAACACACGAGATACATAAATGCATATACATATTTTGCATTTGCATATATGTATTGTAATAAAAACGCAAAACAAATAATACAAACTAGTAAAAAACGGTAATAATAGCAAAATTGGTTACAGCAAATTAAAGGAACGAAAAACTAAAGTAAATTTAACGCCAGAGCGCGGGCACAATAATTGATTGGTGTTTTTTATAAACTTTCCCTCTTTCGATTACTTTTTTACAGCTATATTAATCCAGAAATTATTTTATTTGTCTGGAACCGTCCGGGAAGTTTAATACCGACCTGTAGAATATAGAATAAACACAAATTAACAAAAACATTATTCTCATATAAATCTAACGATTGACTAAAGGGCTCTTTTGTGTGCTATATATGATTGCCTAAAAAAATTACGAAAAATTCTTTTTGACAAAACAATGAATTATAGATAGATAGGCATTAATAAATGAATTAGAAAAATAAAAAAAATTAAACTAAATCGATTCATCTAAAATAATAATTCATGTAAGAACAAAAGCGTATCAATGTCGTCTCCAAATAACACGTGTGCAGTAGTAAAAGTAACTGGCCGGCAAATACACCTAATCACATTCCGATTAGTGGTACTTACGAGGAGAGTACGATCTTGATCTGGAACGATCATAGCGTCGTCGCCTGTAGTATGGTGACGGAGACCTTCGATGGCTGTATTTCGATCCTCTATATCCTCCTCCACCTCCATAGTAATCGCTACACAATTTAAAACAATCATCAAGAAAAATAAAAATAAACTTTTATATATTTTAAGCGTAACAAATAAGAATGTGCCAGAGTAAACGGAGCTGAGTATATAGGTAACAATATATCAGCACGGGACTCCACCTTAATTTATACTCTTCCTGTGTGCATCAAGATTCTCAGTATTTAATAACTTAAGCCTCTCAAATATCACAGGAATATTTTATAATAAAATATATTTCTGCAATCAAAGCTTTCCACATACACTGATTACTGGCGCCAGTACGAAGCCAGTTTAGTGGCGCCAGTACGAAGCCAGTTTAGTGGCGCCAGAAGTTGTTTCCACATAAATGTTATAATTGTGGACTGACACAGTAATAAAAATGGCGTCAAGTGATGTACTTCGCGCTGACATCAATATGGTAGTCCAAATGTGCTCCTTCGAAAAAAAGTGAAAACATAGTTGCTGGGTCTTGTACTTTAATTAGAGAGTTATGCCATGGAGATCAGCGAGCATTTTTTAATCATTTAAGAATGACTGAAGAGTTTCATGTTTTTGTTAAGACAAGTATTCTCTAAAATACAAAAACAACATATGAATATGAAAGATGCCTTTCCAGCTCACGTAAAACTGCAAGCAACTTTATGATTTGTGGCTTCTGGAAATTCTTCTACATCCTTGCAATATATGTATTGTTTGCTCAAAAGCACAATTTCTAAATTTATATGTGAAGTGCTTTATGGTATTCAATTGTATACGCATTGCGTATACTTTGTATTTTTGCTTTTGCCGAGGTTTCGTCAAAATTAGGAACTGTTTTCTTCATAATTTCAACTAACCTTCTAACAGCTTCATTTCGTGCTAGTCGGTCCTTATATTGTGGAATTTTCTGATTCCACAAACAAAGATATTGCTCATATGTTTCTAGAAATAGTACTGGTTATTCTGATGTCCATTTTTTGGACGGTTTATTAACGGATTTGTTCATTTTAGTTGGACGAACACGTTAATAGTTACACGTTTTTTTTATAAATATTGTTACTGGCGACAAAAAGTAGAAGTAGCGTCAACTTTATTGACGCTATGATTACGGGCACCAATTTATTGGCGCCAGTGGTTTTTTGCTATTTCCACATGCAAATGAACTGGCGCCAGTAATCCATGCATGTGGAAACTTAGCTTTAGTCTCAATGATGTTGGGACATGAATCCCAAAACATAATGAAAAATCTTTGTTAAAAGTATTAAGAATATAGTTCATTGCTATTAACCGGCGAACTATATTAGCCAGCCCTCTTCTCTCGCCCTAATTTTATCTCGTTTGCTGGAATATCCTGCAAAGAACTCAACAATATCTTGACTTGGCTCCTTAAAACATTGTTGGAATTGTACACCATTGGAAAGATTGCAAAATACATTCCAGTTTTTAACACGCCAGATAATAGCAATTAGATATTTGCATTAAACACTTACTCTCTGTCTCTATCACCACCCCTACGTCTATCCCATTTGTCACTGATACTGCAAAACAAGACAAATTGTTAAAATCACATGTATTCTTAGGCGATCAATAGCAGAAAGTAATTTGATATCACTGTATAACATAATTCTATCCATACACATCTTAACCCAAGTTATTAACTTTTAAAGATAATCCTAAGTTAAGATTTTGATTAGCTTATAACATTTAATACAAGGTTTATAGGAAATCTTTGGGTTTGGTTCTGTGCATAATTTACTTATAACAACCAATATAACATATTGAAAGGTTGTAAACGCAACATATAACATTAGTCTGTTTCATCACTAGTCTGTTTTGACAATGGTAAAAATAGTTTGGGATTCCCCTACGTTTGTAATTACCTTTTGATGTGTATAAAGCAATCACGCAAACGCAAAAGAATCGCGCACTGTTGGCACCATTCCTCAAACAAAGTTACAACGTTGTATTTATTATAAATATTATCAAAAAAAAATAAAATTTATGTATGGCAACGCCTTTTGTGGAAAAACTTTAGCTTCAAGTAACCACCCTATAGTCACCAATAACCAATATTCTATCAAATCAGAACTCACCATGTACCTATATCTTAAAATACACATTAGAACCAATTTGAATGTACCTACTACTACAAATAAAAATTAATGTAATTAAAAATAAATAAAATCACTTACTATGTTGGTTTTCCCATATAAATACCAGGTGTAGGTGTATGAGCACGTTCTGTAATTGAATAATCCACCCTAATACTCTTTCCATTAATTTTCATCCCTGTACATTGCTCCTTGGCAATTTTAGCATCCTCTGTGTTTTCAAAATAGACAAAAGAGAACCCCCTCGATCTGCCGGTCTATAACAATGTCGAAATTTAAATTGTATGATAAAACGAATATTTTTGTTTCAAACCTTAGCATCAATCACAACTTGTACGCGCTCAACTGGTCCATACTTGGAGAAAATGTGGTAGAGCTCGTCCTCAGTTGTGTAGACGCTGAGACCAAAGACGCCCAGGCATCGTGAAGGTTTCGGATTGTCGCGGGTCCCCATATGACGCCTACGGCTAGACATAGGGCTATGTGAGTGAGATCGCCGGCCGTAACCACCTGAACGGGATCGGCTACGGGAGTATCGAGAGGACTTGTAACGTCTGTCTGAGCGTGATCGACTGCGGGACCTGCAAACGGTCGACATGAGTGATTGCAATTTTACATTGGCTTTCTAATTTTCAAATATTTCGGCATCCGACTCATTACAGTTAAAGTTTGATACAAAATTATATACATATTTTAATAAGATTAAATATAAAATAATTAAGAAGCATTTACCAATTTAACATCTAACTCGATTCAAAAATATTACTCATTTACACAACGTAGCAGTTAAATCAAACAAACATGCATGTTTATAAACAAATCTTTATAAAACAATTTAAACTAAAATAATTTAAATGAAAATCTTAAAGCTAAAAAAGCAGAAAACTTATTACAACTATTTTAATAACTGGGCAATTTTTTTTTTAATAAAAGCAAAAGTACAAAAGCAATAATTATGTATTATTCTATAACGAGTCGGATCACGATTTATTTTTAAATTAATTATAATTACAATAAAAAAAATGCACGTTAAATGATTCTGAACTGATAAAAATAGCACCACCTCTCATGTGAAGGTAAAGTAGCAATACTAAATCAATACTAATTATAAATTTTAAGAAAACACACAAATCAATTCAGGTAATTCCTAAACCAAACAAAAAAAGAAAAATAATTGGAAAAAATTTACTTACACAAAATATTTAAGTACTAATATTTTTTCCGGATATAAAATGAATGTGAAAATATATTTATGTAAACTAAAAAACGCAACTTAAAAAACCCAGACAAATCGTGTAAGTCCAAAACAAAAGAAAAAAACAAAGGGAGAGGTGGGGATTTTGGTCCGCGAAAAAAAAATTAAAAACATATTTTTGTTATAAATACCTGTAACGACGACCACCGTCGCGGTCTCCTCCTCCATCCCTACGACGCTCACGGTCGCGATCATCTCTGTAGGACATTTTTCTACCGCGGCTCGGACTTCTAATAATGACAAAACGTAGCATTCAAAAACAATATAAAAATAAGATTATTGAGGTTCTTGCGTTGAGAACAAATAGCTATTATGAAATGTATTGAAGTAAACGGAGCTGAGTATATAGATGAATATGTATATCAGCACGGGACCTCAATTTTAATTACTTTCCCTGTGTGCATCAAGAAACTTAGTATTATTTGACTACAGCCTCTCAAATATCACAGGGTGTATATCCTTAAATATACATAAGGAAAAATATTAGTATACTCAATATAAGTTTAGATTATTACATGTTAGTTCAAAAAGAATACTAAATAATGTCAGGGTGTCAAAACAAGTATTAAATAAAAAAATACAAGTATAAAATATATACAGTAAAAAATATATTTATATAACACATCTCAATTGTAACTATTAAGTAACTATTTCCATTATTAGTACAAACACAAGTATTAATTAGTTAATACACAATATTATTTTAGATGTACTTTGACTGTTAATACCATGTTGACCAATAAAAATAAGAGTTCCACAAGTGCCAATAATGGATATTGTACATAAATGTTTTTTCTATGTCAGTTAGCCATTGCTCTAATCATTCTAATTCTATTTTCGTCCATTCCTTTTGTAGTTAGCTTTTTCTATTCATCAAAAGGCATCTGCAATATACAATTTATCTCCCAGACTATAATATCTGTTGGCCAGACTATAAATTGTCCTATTGTTAACATTTACCTCATTTGAAATTTAGTAATAACAGATATAGTGGTGATGGGTCATAGTAATGTATCAGGTAAATGTTAAAATGCTTCTACTGCAATATGACATCATCTTCTTAAATTTATTAAACAATTTTAGTTTTATGTATTTTATAATGAAATTCATACTGGTAGCACATAATTAAAATACGTGTTTTGTTTGCTTTATTATTCTAGTTTTCTTCCAAGTAAAGAATTTCTACTTGTTTGAAGCACTCCATGTTGAACTTCTTGTCACAACTCCATATACTACTTACTAAAGAAAAGTTTTTGGACCAAAGAACTTGGAATTCCTACTTTGCAACTAAATTTAGTGTATGACTCCCTCATCTTGTACTCTTCATTCAACTCTTAAGCTATTGTTCTGTAATACAAGGAGGTCCATTCCATAAAATAATGTTTATTAAACACAATCAAAATAGTTGAGATTTAAAGATTCTCCACATTAATTAAAATATGATACAGTTTAAAAGTTACCCAGTTACTTTCAAGACAGATACTCAGGTACTCAAAACATTATACCCAAGTACAAGTTTTTGTCTTTGAAATACACCTGTGTAAAAGGCACTTAATCAACAAAGTACCATAGTAGTGAGTATTTTCAATATTTCTGTGAAGTCAAAACATGAGAAGTATCAACTTCTGTCTTGACTGAACTCATCATGATAAAGCAGTGCTCCAACCTTTGCGTCTCAATGTCAATCCACATCCAATAAAGTATTCTTGGTTATTCTTTTTAGGCTGTTAAGGCCCACTTTTACCACCTCTTGATAAATTTATCCCATAGATAAACCCAGTTCTTATGTCCTATGGCAATTATAGATAGTAAACCTGGGCCTAAATAAAATATGTCAGCTATAAAATAGTGATTGTTATGAGTTTGGTTACAGTGAATATCTTCTACTTTTTGATAAATAGTAAACAGAATATGATTTACATTCAAATTATTTTAATTTATATACAGTGATGTAGAAAAGTCTACATACAACAATGAATTATAAGGCTTTTGTAAAACATAATAGATATTCGAAACCACGACGCCTGTGTGCTGTTATAAAAGCTCATAGTGGGCCAAGGAAATATTGAGTTTTGAAAACTGTCGTTAAATGGACCTAATAATTTATTTTTAGTTAAAAACTACTTTGTATGTAAACTTTTGTCCTATTAATTTTTGTATTATTTGTTGAATTTATAGTGTATAGCTGCTGTTGAGCTATTTGTTTTGTTCCTTTTTTGTGAATAAGTATCTCTAATTACAATCACACTGTAATATTAATTTTGTATTATTTTATTATGTTGTACAAGAACCTCATAATTTAATGCTGTATGTGAACTTTTGTCAGCCACTGTAGAACAAGTCTTGAACCACCAAACAATATTTGTTTATTCAAATACTGATGATCAAGCGCAAATTAATGCCGACAACACTTAAATAATGTTTAGGGAAACTAAAAAATGAAAACAATACAGAAAAAATCATCTGAAGACTCAATTTGCGCCACTTAGCATATTAAAAAAAGCTCTTAGAACCCATCCATGGAACTTATTGAAAATAATCTAATCTTATGATTATGTATCTTGCAAAAATAAAAGCATTTATTAAATAGATTCGCTTAAAATAAAACCAAAATTTTTTTTTAATAATAAACTGATTTATAAAATAAGATGGATTCCACATCTTTGAACTTACCTAGAATAGCTTTTAGTTTTATGATTCCTAGGAGACTCTTCTCTTCTTCCGTGGGGAGAATGATCGCGATCGTTGATGGGTTTATGTCCAGGAGACCTAGTAGCCTATAACCACGTCAAAAAAAAAACAATAAAAAATCCATCAAAACCTTACAATTCTCAACAAAATCAAAAGAACGTAATCCTCACTATGACTAAGCTATAATTAAATTGCTTTAGGCAGTTTGGAGGCCACGCGGATTCGAACCCGCGTAAAATAAGAAAAGGTTAGCGTCGTTGATGGCTGCAGCGTGGTTTCGCCGGCGAAGCTTTTTACAGTTGTTAAAACGCTAATCTATTTTTATTACAACACGCGTCGCGGTCAAAATACGTAGACTTTCGTACTTACCTCTCTGTCACTCATTGTGTATTTTAAATACGGATTAAGAAGGAAAGAACGGAGGCTTCTTTTTTTTCAAGAGATTCGGCGTCCGCTTCGCTTTTGAGCACTTCGCAAAATACGCCGCAATGGAGTCGTGTAGCACTAAAATGGCGGGCAAAGAAACGAAGTTTGACAACGACGGTTGTCAAAACAAGAGTGGGGGATGTTTTTTAAAAACTCGATTTCTTCGATTTCTAAAAATTCATTTTGAATCTCTTTTATTTTAAATTTAATAAAACATGTTGGTGGGTTGGATGAAATAGAATTTTGTTATAAATAAAAATAAAAAATAATTAAATCGGGAAGTGGTGGGGGGCAAATTACAAAAACCACCTCTAATTTCTATTATTGGGGTACAGTACCAACTTCAAAAAATAAAACAAAAAAAGAAATGATTAACCACGTTTATCGTTAAAGTGATTTCCGGTAGAAACTTTAATATAAAAAAACAGAAGCTGTCAACAAATTACTTGTCAATTATAATTTAAACGTAAGGTGAGCGTTACTAATTTAAAAAACGTTGGTTCAATTTTTGTGAATCAGTTTCGTCTTCTACATAATTTTGCCGGTTACAATTTGAATATCCCGCCATATTGTTTTAATTTTTTTTTTACATTTCTCCCGGAGAAAATCGTTTGCTATTTTGAAAATACATCGCGAATAGTCATCAGTGAAGGAAAAAAGGTATTGTGCGCAGTAAATAATTGTAATTCTCCGTATACTTTCTAGTACGAAAACTTGTGTGGAAAATCTTATTTTAGTACTACTGGTTTTCTCTGTCTGTCGTCCCCGTTGGGAACATGTCAGTCTGATGACAGTGCTTTTCTAGATTCTCATCATGGCTGGCGCGATGTTGTTCGAAAGAGCCCAATCTGTATCTGATTCTAATCGTGAAAAAGATATAATACTGTTAAACAAACTGAAACGCGCAGAGGAGGACGAGGAGAACGATGAGGATATCAAGGCGAAGGAGCAGGATATATTAAACTTGGGCGAAAAATACAAAAAAGAAGGTAAGGAAGCATTAACGGGTTTTACATCACTTTATTACTGATAATATGGTAAATTTTTAAAGAAACTATGATTATTATTGACTTAAGATTAATTTCAAGTTGTTTTGCTTTTATATTTTTGGCCTTTTTTAAGCCAGAAACGTGCCAAATATATGTAATTTGTAAGTCTTATTTGCAAGTCACAGGGCTGATCTTAATAAAGTTTAATCATTAAATATCAAAATAGTGCAATTTGGTTGTTTTTTGGGTAATATTAATAAATAAATTGGATTTTATAGAAGAAACAAAGACTTTTTGGTGTAAATATGGATTTAAATTGTCATCAGGTTGAACATAACCTATTTTAGCAATGAACAAAGCATGAACTTTGTTATTTTAGGAAATTTTTCAAAAAATTTTCGCAAATATAATGAAAAATAATCATTATTTGGTTCTTAATTTTTGTAACAAATATTTGTTTTTGTTATAAACTTATTATTTTTTTCTTAAAATAGATGAGCTAAATATATCCGATGTTTTAATTGTAATTTGCAAGTCACAGTAATAGATTACAATAATGTTTACACATTATTCTTAAATGCACTTCTCTTTTTCATTAAATCTATGTATCGGAATTGTTATTGTTTAAGTCATTAGGCATCACTTCCCAGCAGATGAAACATAAGTTCTTATCTTTACTCTATGAAGAGAAGTTCCTGTATTTTTTGGATGAACAACCTCACTTGGTGCTGAACATTTCTTGTGGGCAACTTGGAAATGAACGCTTTTAGTGCTTCTCACTAATATGAAAGGGCTCATTTCCCAATAGATGACACAGAAGTTTTTATCTTCACTCTATGTCGAGGAGTTCCCTGTATTTTTTGGATGAATGACCTCATTTGGTGCTGAACGTTTCTTGGGCAAATTGGAAGTGAACGCTTTTACTGCTTCTCACTAACCTTAAAGGGCTCACTTCCCAGCAGATGACACAGACTTCTTATCTTCACTCTATGTCGAGGAGTTCCCTGTATTTTTTGGATGAATGACCTCATTTGGTGCTGAATATTTCTTGGGCAACTTGGAAGTAAACGCTTTTACTGCTTCTCATTAATATCAAACAGGCTCACTTCCCAGCAGATGACACAGAAGTTCTTACCTTCACTCTATGATGAGTTATTATTATGGAGTATTTTTTGGATGAACAACCGCATTTGGTGCTGAACGTTTTTTGGGCAAATTGGAAGTGAACCCTTTTACTGCTTCTCACTAATATGAAAGAGCTCAGTTCCTAGTAGATGACACAGAAGTTCTTATCTTCGCTCTATGACAAGGAGTTCCTGTATTTTTTGGGTGAACAACCTCATTTGGTGCTGAAAGTTTCTTGGGCAAATTGGAAGTGTACGCTTTTACTGCTTCTCACTAACATGAAAGGGCTCAATTCCCAGCAGATGACACAGACTTCTTATCTTCACTCTATGTCGAGGAGTTCCCTGTATTTTTTGGATGAATGACCTCATTTGGTGCTGAAAGTTTCTTGGGCAACTTGGAAGTAAACACTTTTACTGCTTCTCATTAATATGAATGGGCTCACTTTCCAGCAGATGAAACAGAAATTCTTATCTTCACTCTATGAAGAGGAATTCCTGTATTTTTTGGATAAACGATCTCAGTTATTGTCAGGGAGACAATAGCATATGCTCGGGCATGTTGGGGTAGCCAGTAAATGGACATGGACTTGATTGTGTCTGATATAGTATGCGTTGCTTGGTGGAGTTGGACATCAACACGATTAGTGTTTAGAACTATTGATACACACCGGTGCACAGTACTCTTCGACGCGCTACACCAGACCCAATGCTGTCGATTTAAGTGTGGACGCTAAGGAGCTCTATGTGGTGCCTCTCAGCTTTTGCAGGGTGTTATTTTGGGTTCTGAACTTTTACAGTGTTCTTCGTAAGATGTTCTTTAAAGCTTAGCGTTCTGTCGAGGGTAACACCTAGGTATTGTAGGTACTATTTATTCTGACTGAGAAGGTAAATTGTAAGTTGACCATCTTGTTGTTTAAGTGTAAGCACGATACTTCCATCTTGGCGGCATCGGGCTGCAATCGTCAGTCGCGAAATTATCTCCCCAGGGTAGTCAGGTCGTTTGTTATGGTTTGCTAGTCATCTTCGTATCCGAACTTCTTTGATGTGGTTTCGGACATGACTACCGATTCTTATGGGAAGCCATTGTTCGATTTCATTTGAATACTAGTCTTGTCATTCATGATTCCAAGTCATGCATCTGTTAGATAGTATGGCATCAGTGATTTTTCCGAATTAATTTATACATTAATCTTTGTCACCTCACGGTATCTCGTATGCAGCTGACAAGTCAATGAAACCAGGAGATATTTTAGTTGCTTTTGAAATCCTGTTTCCACATAGCTGTAGTATTGTTTGGGTAATCCTGTTATATGTATAGCAATTTTTCAAAAAGGTCATGGTTAGAAGTGCAATTGGGTAGTAGTTTTTTTGGCGTATCGTTAGCATCCCTGGTTTTAGAATGGCGACGATTTTTGCTCTCATGAGTTAACGGAGATGTCCGAGAAGAACTTTGCAAGTCATTGCCTAGTAAATCTGCTTTTGTGCTTTAGAAACTCAACATGAATGGCATCAAAACCAAGGACTTTTCTTGAGGTTGACACTATGTCGGTCGCCACTTGGTTTGGTTTTACTAGATTGGTTGTTTTTTCAATTGATGTAATTCTAGTTTTTGAACTGTCTTAATTCATTTCTGTCGCTTTGCAGCATTAATACTATAGCGCTGTTCTTCTGCAATTTCATGCCTGCCCAATTTCTCCTCGCACCATCTAGGAACATACTTTCTGCGGTACCTTCTAGGAATTGCTACTTTTGTTGCAGCTATTATAGCTTCCTTCAATCTTCCGTAGTTTACGCTCTTTGATGGGATCCACCCTAAGCATTTGTCAAGATGACTATAGAAAGCAGACCAGTTAGCTTTCTTAAAATTCCATCTGGGACGTGGCAACGATTTTATAATTAGGATGCTAGTGCCGATTTTAACCAAAATAGAATTCTGATAGAGATTGGCTTTTGTTGTCAATTGTAACAAAACAAAGATTAGGGTTATATTCCCTTACATATTGTATTATTTTATAAGAAATCAGTGAAGGACATATCAAGGCATACATAACATGGCTCTTGACGGAAATACATGGAAGCATTGTTAATGGAGTTCGTTGTCTATTCACCATTAGTGAATTTGGTGACGCAAATAAATTTTATAATTAAACACTTAATTAATAGGAATTTTTTGAAAAATCCTGTTTGTCAATTATCAACAATAAAATAATAATACCCTATACATTAATTCTTTAAAAACAGCTTTATTATGAGTAACGTTTTTATCTATCTCTAGACTAATAACAGCTTTAATATATATTTAATGAATAATTGGAATCAATTTGAATATTTAAATAGTTAACTGGTACTTTTTTAAATGAACTTTAAACACTTTTAAGCTCATTATAATTTCAATTTTACGTTAAATAATATTTAAATATCGTTATAATTTTTTTTTTATTAATATATTTGTTTTGTTTAGGTAAAGCTAAAGAACTTGCCGATTTAATAAAAGCAACAAGACCGTTTCTAAGCTTAATCAGTAAAGCAAAAGCGGCAAAACTAGTTAGATCCCTAGTAGATTTCTTTCTCGATCTTGAAGCTGGAATCGGCATTGAAGTGCAATTATGCAAAGAATGTATAGAATGGGCGAAGGAAGAAAAACGCACTTTTCTTCGCCAATCATTAGAGGCTCGATTAATCGCCCTCTATTTCGATACTGGTATGTTTACGGAAGCGCTTCAACTAGGATCAACTTTATTAAAAGAATTAAAAAAGTTAGATGATAAAAACCTTCTCGTCGAAGTGCAACTATTAGAAAGCAAAACTTATCATGCTTTGAGTAATTTGCAAAAAGCTCGTGCCGCCCTCACATCAGCTCGCACGACCGCAAATGCCATCTATTGTCCGCCCAAAATGCAAGCTTCGCTGGATTTACAATCAGGTATTTTACACGCGGCCGATGAAAAGGACTTTAAAACGGCCTATTCTTACTTTTACGAAGCGTTTGAAGGTTTCGATAGCGTTGAATCGCCGAAAGCTTTAACGGCGTTAAAATACATGTTGCTTTCGAAAATCATGTTGAACAACCCCGAAGACGTTCAGCAAATCGTTAGTGGTAAATTGGCGATTAAATACGCCGGTCGTGATATTGAAGCGATGAAAAGTGTCGCTCAGGCTTCTCATAAACGCTCCCTAGCCGATTTTCAAATGGCCGTTAAACAATACAAAGCGGAATTGGAGGATGATGTGATCGTTAGAGCACATTTGGGAACTTTATACGACAATATGTTGGAACAGAATTTGTGTCGCATTATTGAACCTTATTCAAGAGTCGAAGTCGATTATATCGCGAAAACTATCAAACTTCCAATGCCACAAGTTGAGAAGAAATTATCGCAAATGATTTTGGATGCGAAATTTCATGGAATTTTAGATCAAGGTGAAGGTAAGCAGGAAAAGATCTAATATTAATTTTTTTTTTAACTTTTTTAAAATAATTTTTAATTAATTTCAGGTGTCTTAATAGTGTTTGAAGAAACAGCAGTAGATAAAACATATGAAATGGCATTAGAGACGATACAAAGCATGAGTAAAGTGGTGGATACGTTATATCAAAAAGCGAAAAAGTTGTCATAGGTTCACATTTTTCTCTAAACTAAGCAGATAGCTGTAAATTTTATTAATCTTATTATTAAAAAAAAAGAAACAGACTGTATTTTTCCTACTTTAACGAGAAACGATTATAGACAAAGCAGATTTGTTATTTTTGTTTTCTCTGTGTCCCACCAACCCTCACGCGCGTTCTGTTGTCTCTTTATAGGATGTAATTTAATCTATATTATGGCTTTACGTTATCTCTCAACCCCCTCGAACAAGAACCGTTTAATTTTTTTTTATTAGTTTGTCTACTTGTTTCGAAGAGGCGTTCTTTAACAATTCTATTTGATGTGTAAATATATGAAAAAAAATCAATTAACTGAAGTTAGGAATGGGTTTTTATTAACCGTGTGAACTACTTAATAAAATTGAAATAAAAAGATTTATTAAAAAAGAATTGTTTTATTTTTAACTTGTATTTACATCTTTAGTTTTAACGATTTTTTTACTGATTTTCTTCTTTTTCGCGTTTTTATTTTTTTGCGCCTTTGTAAGCTTTGGTTTACGTTTGCCTCCTTTAAGCTTTTTGTTAAGATTTGGAGGAAATAATCCAGGCATTTGCTTTGAAGTTTGATGCTTTGGTAAGATTAAACTGCAATCTATTGGACACCAATCTTCGTATTTTCTAATTATAGTCCAATTTTCGATATCATAATTTTTGTGTAAATTATAATTACCATCCTCACTAGAATTAAACATTAAGGATTTTAAATTTAAAAAATTTGTAGAAATATTTACCTTGATTGTAATAAGGTTACACTTGGTTGGTTTGGTAAATGTTGAAGTAAATAATTTCCTGGCGATAAAGATTTAAGTTCCAAAAATAATTTGTATAACGCCCCAAAGCCCAAAGATGGTTTATAATTATGATAAGTGAGCAGTTCATTTTTAATACTTTGAATATTACAATTTTCTAACGTTAATATTTGTTTTGACTTACAAACAACTCTAACTAAAAAATAAAAAATAATACATGAAGTGTTTTAGAAAAATCCAAATAAATTTACATACATCTACACAACTGTGAATAAGGTCTAAAAAATAATGAAACCCATTGGCTTATCAATTCCGTTTTTGTTAGAATTCCACCACCAAATTCTGGTTGATGCTCTAATTTTACATGTAACGAGATAGGTTGTAAAACATTATTTTCGATAGCTTCGCAAGCATCTAATTTACAACGAACTAAAACCTTTACATCTTTCGTTTTATAACGAGTTTTCATCAGTGTTGATTCTTCATTTTCTTGCCTGAGGTGCCATAACCGATATGAAACATTATGATCAAGCTTTCTAGAATTACTTGATACATTTTCTTCTTTTGTGTTAGCTTTTTGTTTCCTCATAGGATTTATTTCTATTGTTTCTGTGCTTAGTACCTCTTCAGAATTAGGATATCTTAAAAAAATGACTTTATTAATTATAATTATAAGCGATAATAATTACTTTAAAGCTTCTGGCGTACAAAAATTTGCTTTTAAACCAATTTTAACATTTTTTTCGACTATGTTTGCTTCATTTATTTTTATTTTTGGTAAGGGTTTGTCTATAAAAATGATATTTCTTTTCGTATTAATTCCATTAGCTAAAAAATTAAAACAATTCATTTTAAATTTAATTAATTTAAACAATTTTTACTTTCTATATAATCAATTTCTTCTATTATAATTGGAATTTCCCAACCAGAATTAATTTCAGTGAAATTTAATAATCTTTTTAGTCCACTAGCAGATATAACTACTTCTGCTTCACAAGATGTGAGTAATTTTTTTATGTTTCCATCTTGACTAACTAAAAAACACTTAATTATATATTTATTAAATAATAAGCAACTTTTAATGCAATTTAGAAACAATATAAACCTGGTAATTTTGAATGATACTTTTGAAAAGTGTTTGGAAACATTTGTGAACAAATATAATACGGTGTTATTAATGTAGGACGAGTAAATTTTGCTAAACTACCCTAAAATATTTAAAAAATATATAGATAAATAAACATTTATAATCATACAAATTACTAATTCTAATAAATTTCCTAAATGAACCATTTCAATTGGATTATTTTCTTCAGTGTAAGTATGTAAAAAAGTATCAATCTGTTTATAACGTTCTGGATAACTCTTGCACCTTTCCAATTGCTTTTTGAGTATTAAATCGGCATAATTTTGCATTGGTTTTGTAAAACCTGCTTTTACTTTTTGATTAAGAAAATTCTTTTTTGCAAATTGCAAAAATTTTTGGTTCTCTTCAATAATTTTGTTGTGAACATTCTAAAAAAATACTCTAATAAGAATTATAATAACATATAAGTATTAAATATAATCATATAAGTATTAAATATAATCATATAAGTATAAATTTTGAATTATTTGCAGAATTCTTTTACATTATAAAGTTCCATACATCCTCTATCATACAAATTTAATCCTTTTTTTCCAATTTGTAATATATGTAAAGCATTTAAACATTTTGTCTGTTCCATAGCATTCAAAAAGGATTTTATTTGTGTTTTTAATTTGAATTTATTGCTCGATTTTGAAACAGTTTCTATAGGTGCAACATTTTCTGTAACTACTAGTTTAGGTGACGCAGTATCAATTTGGGGAGGATTGTAAATATAAGAATTCGCAATCTCTCTTTCTGGAATATAATCTAACCCATAATCCAACTCATTAGGATGTTGTATTCTCCTATAAGTAACAATAACAAACAAATTTGAACACTTTACTACTAAAATTTTAACCAGATTACCATTTTATATTTAAAAATTCTTCCATAATTCCGGATTATTCTAAAAAATTATTATTATTTAGTTAAATAGACATTTAAAGGTTATGTTAAGTTTTTAAGGTTATGTTTTTTTTTTTTTAATTTAAACGCAAATATACCTAAATATATTTTTAAGATTAAGAATAAGAAGTGTATTACTCTCATTTTTAAGAGTAATACAACAATAATTGAGAAATAAGTTATATTAACACAAATCTATATAAAAAGATTTAATTTTAATAGTAGATTCATAATGCAATAGAGGGCGCTCATTTAATTGATCTGATTCTCAATAATCATATGATTTACAACAAATTCACTTAAGTGCTTTATTAAAAAAAAATAACAATAAAAATGTTATCTTCAATGGTAAAAGAACACAATGCAATCCAACAGGGGGCAAAAGAAATACAAGGTAACAACAAATTATTAATAATAAAATCAATCATAACCTCACTTTTATATTTCACATAACCTCAATAAATTAATAATTTTGATTTTAGAAATGAAAAGAAAAGAAGCATGTGCCGCAGCTAGTCAATTAACTCAAGCTTTAGTAGATCATTTAAATGTGGGGTAAAGTTTACATTATTAAATTATTTTCTAAATCAAATTAAATTTTTTTTTGTCATAGAGTGGCGCAAGCCTATTTAAATCAGAAACGATTAGATGCCGAAGCTAAACAATTACATATTAGCGCAACTAATTTTTCGAAGCAAACTCAACAGTGGCTGAATATTGTTGAAATTTTTAGTACTGCATTGAAGGAGCTTGGAGATGTCGAGAATTGGGCGAAAACTATTGAAGGAGATGTACGGCTGATTACTAACGCTTTGGAAAATGTTTATAAAACGTCTAGGGATAATACTACTGCTTAAATAAGATTTTGTTTTGTTTGAAATTGCAGAAATGTATTGATTAATTTTAAGATATATTAATATATTTTGTTTATAATTTATGTATTGATATTAAATGTACTTGCAAGAGATAATTTAATATGCTGTATTATCAGTTCATGAAACCAGATTGTGTAGTCTCTCCAAAATTCCTTTTAGTACTCCATCTTATTTTCTGCTATGACACTTGTGCATTATATTTAAGGTTTTGGTTTTTGTTTAGAAAACACTGTGGACATGATAACTTTTACAATTATTTTACTACTATCTGCCTTAATAATAAATAATCAGAATAGGTCGGTGATGCCCAACATTTTGCACTGCTTAAAAAAAAATTGCGACCCAGGCGCGTATCAGAACCGTTTTGAGTGCTTCTACGCTGCCGTATTGTGTTCCTGAAACGGAGTAACCCATTGACATCTTTGCCCCAGAGGCTGGAAAAAGTTCTGCTCAAATGGGAATTGTGATCTTGCCCGAATATGACAGCGCCCAGTGTTGCTGATGAATGAAGACCGAAGTGTTTCGCCACCCCCGATTTTAGAACGTCTAGTAACTGTTGATGCCGACCAAAACCATCACAGAAGCAGGGAAATGGCTGCAATTTTTGATTTTTGCGGTCTTCTGCTAACCCTTCTTGAGTAGTTGATATTGGTTCTGATGGTAGCCAAGCGGCACGATCGTGAAAATCTTCTCATCAGTATAGAGAACTGTTGATAAACAAGCAGCGGCGATTAATCTAATCATTCGGCGATAATTTTTCATTTTATTCAAGTTCATTGTATCGTTGAGGAAGTGAAGACGACGAATCTTCTGCCAACATCAATTTACGTCTAAAAACAGCACGGAAATTTTTTGAACAGACTGTAGTGTTACCAGCAAGTGTTCTATGGTTATGTCTCACAAAATCGCTCCAAACAGCAATTCCATTAGATACATTTTGTACTGATTAGCATACTGGAAACCATAGAAGGAGGTTACGATGGTCATGCTATGGATGAATATCACATAGCAGTATAGTATGAGGGCTAATAGAGAACTGGAAGAACCAGCTGGCCATATTAGGAGACAAGACAAACGGAGAGGGAAGGCGGTCGATGGAGAGAGAGAGTGTGTGTATAGGGTGTTTTTGCCAATAGAAAGTGTACGCAAAATTTGCAGTACAAATATAGTAGACGTCTCCAAAATTTTTGCATGGATTTTGTACTTTAATTTTGTTCTAGGCTGGTCAGATCATACACTTCCTTCGTTCTTCATTCTGTAGGAAGTTTACCGTAATTATGGAGTAAATTCTGGTATTATCTCGCATTCTACCTGTAGTCAACATTGCTTCTAAGGTGTAATATATTCACATAAACTTTTGATGCGGAATCTGATCTGTAAGGATCCAAACCTTATTTCCAGAAACTCTATAACTCTAGATTATCACTGTAAACTTTGTCCTTTGTTAATTTTGGAAGTCAAATGTTTGGAAACCATTATGACTCAACTTTTAGATTTAAAACCTTGTACTCAAATTTGACACTTGTTTTAACATTAATGACACGTTAATCTGTAAGCTTGTGGACTACAAAAAAAGCCGTTTAAAACAGTCATTAACACATGAGAGCACTTAAAGGTAGCGTTACGCTGGAAAGAACTTCCAAGACACAGACAGACGAAGAGTATAATAATTTCGTCGCAAAAGAAAACCAATCAGTTTTTATGCCTCAGCAAAGGTAACTTAAGGACGCGCAAATTTTTTTGAGTGGTCCTAAGTTGCCATCTCTGCAACATTGGTCAACCTGAGGATCAAACTTGTCGAGTTGCAACGATCTTCTCTGTGACTGAGAGATCGCCGAAGACACAAAATTTTCGGACAGTTTTGCCTGACATCTACTGACATAAAGGAAGGAGACTTTAAAGCAATACTAAGGTTCATCAAGGACCTAGATTTGCTCTAAACCCTTGGGCAAAATAAAAGGCTAAAGTTAAACTTTGGACTTAAAACCTTCATTTAACTAACAATGAATATTGTGTTATTAAAGTTTTCTGTATGGATTTTAGTTTATTTTTATTCTTTTTGACTTGCAAGCCTTATCAGAAGTATTAAACAGCTAAATTATTTATACCTTAAAAAAAGCTAATTTTCATGGTCTCGAAAATCACAAACTCGAATTTATCTAATCAAACAAAAAAATATCTTATCTTAGAATATTCTTATTTACACTTTCGGATAAGCGCATAGTAAAAATAATCCCTCACGGGGATTTGCTTTCTTTTCTATTTCCAGAGCCTACAAAATAACTCCCTCCTGTTGTCAGGGTTAACTCTTGTGTTTACAACGGTTATAAATATAGTAGTGCTTCGAGGTGGCACAAACGATCCTTATAATCGACCCCGTGGGTGCCCCCGCGTTCAACCGGTACTATCCAATTCAACACCACTCCTCACGTTCAGAACTTACACGCGTTTTTGTCAGTCGCTTAACCATACTCTCGCGAGTTGTACAGGATATGTCGCCAATTCGTTAAAACATTTAAAAAAAAGGAAGAGGAGGTGATTCACACTCCTCCGTTAGTGATATGTGTAAACGTTTCGAATTAGTCACAGACCTTCAGTTTAAATAATTTCTTCATTTTAAACCGTTATTTGATGTCAAATCGGATGTCAATTTGATGTCATTTAAAAAAAAAGTACTTACTTTCACGGCCAACTCTGTTTGATTCAACAATTTGGGATCATCATTACTTACTATACCCTACTCGCGGAATTTATGCAGTTATAGTGATGCGGGAAATGTAAACAACTCAAGTTTATCAACTTCTTCATAAATATATAAAAAGGTAAAGTAAAATATTTTATTGTTAGTCATATTTTTAAATTAGGTTGGTAATAATTTGTTTATTTAATATTGGCAGTTTGAATATGTCAAAAATTTTGATTATTTTTTTTGACATAACTAATGTCAAACTTATTACATGTATTAAATCTCACCTTAAAAAAAGCCACGAAGGAGTTTTAATAAGCCGAAATTAAATTAGAATAAAATGCTGCAAAAAACGTAGCGAAAATTAGAATGAAGTCTCGAAGTAGTTTCTGTTGATAAAACGAATACAATTAATTTATTGTATTTTTTTGCATTTAAAATGGTAAAATAATAATAATCACTTTCAAAACGTGATTTATTACTGCACAAACTCGGCGTTTAGAGTATAAACGGACATCTCTAAAAAAAATTTAAACGCATGCGCATAACCTATCGCCATTGCGACCAGTTTACGGGTTGTCATCAAAAAGAAAATACGGTTAATCAAAAAATCTCTATTTATTTATTTTTTTATAAATAACTAATCAAAAGTTTATTAATTGTGATTGTTTTGGTGATCGTCGGATTAAACCGGAAGTGAATCGTTTACGTAAACTCAACAGCATGTGTAATGCCCCCGTGTAATTACACACACACACATTTGCACTGCCCCTCAACTCCTCGGTGCTATCTGGCTACGTTATAGTTTATATTTATTTATTTTTATAGGTATGTTAATAATCTTTTCGAGAAAAACAACACGTTAACTATAAATACTCGTATTTTTTATGTATAATCAATTAATAATCTATTAAAAGAAGTATAATTTTAGCCTTGAAAAAGTTCTCACAAAAATGTAGAGTTAAAAGTTTTATTAAAATTTAATAGTTTTTAGTATTTAATAAGAAAAACGAATGCCGGGGCCGCCGCCTCCGCCTCCACCAATTGGGGGGCCGCCGCCACCGCCAGCTTTTACGCCCCAAGCTGCTCCAAGTAAAGGAGGTGGCGATCAAAGAGATGCCCTGCTCAGTGCTATAAGAAAAGGAAAAAACTTGAAAAAGACTGTTACCGTTGATAAAAGTGGCCCTTGCATACCAGGTTAGTTGGTTAGATGTAAGGTAAATCAAATTAGGTTAAGGTGTCATGTGTTTGAATCACTTTCATGTGTTTTGTTGAAGAATACAGATCAATTTCTAAATAATTACACTCTATTATAAGGAATAGGAGTGGTTTTTAATGTTGTTTGAAATTGTTGGGAAAATATGAAGGATAAAGTGTGTTTAGTAAAGTTGTTTTTTATTAAATTGTTATGTTTATTATTTTGCAATGCTTCTTTTTTTAAGTGATGATAAGTATTAGTCATCTTTAAATGGATTGATTTCTATTTGGACTTATTTTATGACCTATTATTATTTAAAGGTGACTTAAAAATTGGTGGGGTTAAAGTTAACCAACTTAACCAGTCTTGAAAAAAAAAAAAAGTTCTTTTTAGATTTTTTTTTGTAAACAGTTTTTATGTTTTAATCTAAATATATTTAATGCCTTTCTGATGTTTACTTAGACAAAGGCTATAACATTTTAATTAATATACAAACACCAAGTAATCTAATCTTGTTATGGTACAATATTAAGTATTCTAAATAGGGAGGGTCAAATATTACCTATGACTAATATAAAAACGTGATATATATAAATAAGTTCTGAAATCATTTAATGGTAGGCTTTGGTATTTAAACGAACTTATGTTGCTTCATATTCTGAAATTTGTGCAGTGTTCTAATCGAAATTTATTCTTGGAATCTGAAATCTGTATAGTATTATACTAGATTTCTTTGAACCTCAAATTTATGCAATGTTAATCACTCCAGTTGATATCAGGAATTCAAGTAGTGTAACTCCAGAATTCTTCTTGGCCTTTGGATTGGCTTGCTTCCATAGTCAAATGTTTCCCTGAACACTGAAATTTGCAATGCAAATCTAGACTTTTTCAGAGTCTTGCAACAATTCCACATTCTTCTTGGACTTTGAAATCATTACAGTATAATTCCAAAGTAGCCAGAAAGTCATTGACGTTATAGACAGCATTCGTTTGCTTAAATATGACTGCAGCACTACAAATGCACAGATCTATGGTATGTGATACACAAGCAAAGGCAAAAAATGTTGGACAAGTTGAGAATAGAGTGTTCTTTCATAAATCTTTAAAACGCCCGGCAAAATTTCTCTATGAATAGGCAAAACAACAGTTAGTCTTGTCGTTATTTAATTAGTGAGCGCTTCAATACTTATTATACTTAGGGCCGGTTGTACCACCTCCCGATAAGTTTATCCGATAGATAAATTGGCGCACTTAGGTCCATTACTACCATCTTTTAGTTAAATTTATCTTATAGATAAACCCATCTACTAGCCAATCAAAGCGCGTAAAATAGCCGTAACCGTAGCAATAATCCCTTAGATAGCTTAACCGGAAGATGGTAGTAACGAGCCTTAGCCAATGAGAGCGCTTAAAACCGCTGTAACCATGGTAATTATCCGCTAGATAGTTTATCGGGAGGTGGTACAACCGGCCCTTAGTCTGTGATCTTATGAATATTGATCAGAAAATCTAAAATTGAAGCATGGCGAAAGATTCACAACGTCCGAAATCGGATAATGAAAGCAACGTAGTTAATATTTTCAGCTATCAATCTTCGGTATCACCTACAGTATGTTGACAAGCAAAGTTTTGAAAATATTGTTTTTTAACCACTAGTAAATTTTGAAATTGATCAGATCTTCAAAACCAAATTAAAATCTGTTATAACTCTGTTATAATTTAATTTTATCTATAGTTTTTGAGATATTTGTTTTTAATATTATCTCTATTCGGTTTCAATCGACACGTTGGGCAAATATTTGATGTCGGTTTAAAATTTGCCAAATATCTTATCAGATACCATGAGAGGAAACACGCTTCTTAACTTGCTAACTTTTGCGATAGTGGTTCCTATGAAATAGTTATAAATTCATATTTTATGTTGAAAGATATTCGTTTTCAAGGTAATCTCTGAATGTGGTTATTCTGAAATCTTTTCTGAAGTGAGTCATTGCTATTGAACCGAGCGAAATCGATTTTTCAAAACAGATAATAGTTGTGGGAATTTCCTTTTTGCGTTAGGTACTTGAATATAAAGAAAAATTCTATATCGTCTGAGATTTAGTCTTTTTATCAACGTAATAGTGATTTGTGAAACATTTCTTTAGACCATGATTTTTGTCATTCTTGTGGTTATAAAGATGTAATATAAAGATAAAAAATAATATAAAGATGTTCTCTATATTAATTTTAAGAATGATGTATTTCAGTCGTCTTAATCCTATACCGGGGCCGGGATGATAGGTAACATATTGTCTGAAGAAAATCGATACAAAATGTACTTCATATGATATATTTATCATATACAAAGACTGATAACATAGACCACCACTTAAGTGGTGGTCCCGGTCCTCTAAAGGTTAATGCCAAAGATTATCATCACTAAAGTTCCCATCGTTTATTGAGACCATGTTCAACCAAAACTAATCATTAAAAATCATGTCACACTGACAATCTCCAAAATGGTTTATCTAATTCGAATGTCGATAAGAACCAAATTAAGCAGAAAGGGAAATAATCGTTGGAAGGGAATCACTAAATCAATATTCACTGCTATTACTGATGTGAGTGTTGCATTCTCTCATAAACCCTTTTATGGATATCTCCAAAGAAAATAACACAAAGATTACAAGACCCCGAAGAATTTCTTGGACATCTTTCAAGTATCGAGACATTTTGAGACAAACTCCAAAGCACTCAAAATAGTGTTGATCATTTTTCCATATCCTGCAATTTTGTTATCTTTTTCTTCTTTGGATATTTCGTTAGTTGATAAGAATGTAGTCTATCTGATTTCGGTGCTTGAGTATCTCCAAGACCTCTCCAAGTGTCAAGCCTACGTTGTCAAGTAATAACAATAATATCTCGTAATTCATAATGGCTCTCGAAGAATCAGATCTGTTGAAAAATAAGGTTATATAATCTATTAATAACAGTTTAATCACAACACATTACAGATCTAAAGATCATTTAAATAAACATTTAATTCGGAATTTCTCTAAAATCATAAAATTTGAATTTTAGCAACTGCGATGGTAAATTTTGCAAGTTTTAAGTCATTTTAAATGTTTCACTGTGTGTGCATACTTGCTATTTAGAAAAAGATTAGATCATCCAGGAGATAGGAGCGGTATATCTTTAACATATTTAAACAATGACTACCATCTACTTTCAGTGAATATTTAAATTGGAAACTTTAAACAATTTGTTTACGTTAGGTTTAAACTTATCTTCTTTCTTTATTATTTTTTCACATAGACGATGTGTACAGAAATATCCATAAAGTTGGAAAGTTATTTCTTTTAACTTTCATCTCATTAAAAACATTCCAAATTTATTTTTGTAACAGTCCTTAAAGTATCTGCGGTCCAAGTACATCAAGGTTTGTCATCAATCTCTCTAAATATCCTATATTGCAGTTGTATAGGTTGATTCTTTATGTTTTAACTTTTTCAATAAAATAGTAATATATTTTTATAGCGATATAAAGAAGGGAAGTATCTAATGAAGTTAATTGCCAATAAATTTTTTTATTACAATTTAGCAGTTATTACATAATATTAAATTATTTGTGCACAAATGTCTAATATTATTTATTCCAAAAAAGTACAAAAAATAAAAATGATAATATTAATAAACTTCCTAATTCAGTTAATAATAGGATAAACCAATGAAGGATAGATAATATTTAAAGATAAGAAAGACTTTTTCTTGTTTAATCTTCTTATTTGTATTAATTTTTGTAATTAATTTATTATCAATTATTTTTTGTTATATTATTTTTGCTTCTTAATGGAAGCTTTGTTTATTGAACTGTTTATTCTTTCTTAGTTCAATATCCCTACTTAAAAATTTCTATTTATTAGTCATCTGTACGACGACCTTAAACATTGAGTCTTATTGTTAGTCATTTTCTTTGAACATTTCAACTCATCTTGTAATCGTATAAATGTCACTGTTTGAAATATGGATTTCGTATTACATAGATATACGAGATTCGTGTGGTTTTGATATAACGTATTTCACATATCCAATTTTACACGCAGACCTCTGTTATCTATACCTTGTTGATAAAATATTTATGAGTCACCAGATGGAACATTTTTATCCTTCATATCTTCTCTTTACACTCGTTACACTCGAGTAGTCCGCTTTATTTTTAACAAAAACCTTTTTATTTTTCTTTAGTGACGTCTTCTAGTATATATCAAATACTATGTTGAATTAAACTGATAACATTTTTGTAGAGGTGTTGACTTAATTTATTTTTGATAATCAATTTTTATTTATTTTCCTGTCTCCATCATTTCCTGTATAAATAATGTTTATTAAATAAGAATTTAATCAAGGATGTTATTTTAATTTTGTTTGGAAATAAGATATCTAATTTATATTATTAATTTTCTTTTAGGAAAATTATCAAATGTCAGCAATAATAATAGTAATACATCTAATAATAATGATGCGAGACCATCAGGACCAACACCGTCAGGACCTCCAAATGGACTTGTAGGTTTAGCTGCTTTATTTCCCGGCGGGCAAATACCAAAATTACGCCCCGTTGGTAAGTATACTAAAAAAAGATAAATTTGTTATTGATACCCGTGGGGAATTTGATTATAGTCATGGTTTTGGTTAAAAATATATGTTTGAGTATTGATTAAAATGGGAAAACTTATTACAATTGCGGTTTATGTTTAATTAATATTAATAGAGGAAATTACTCTATATTTTTGATTAAAAAGTAATAATGAAAATTCCTATGTGGTTATAAAAACCCATAAAATTTTTATCAATTTTTTTAATGTATTTATCTAATAATAATATTCGTATGAAACTATCTACTTTTTATATTTAAAAATTATCAAAATTGAGTTCAAACAAATTAGTGGCAAGAATTTTTTTAAAACAATTTAGTAGTTTAATGGTCTTCACAATGAACTTATATACAACTAAAATTGTTTTGATTTCTTTCAACTAATGATGAGTAAGATTAACATAAGTTTCTATTTCTATGAATTATTATTCATTTATTCTGAAAAACGGTTATACTTTTGAAAAAAAAATGAAAACAAGCTGAGTGGACACTAGGAGCAGTATTTTGCATGTATAATTTGTAATTTACATACATTCTTAATTATGTTAATAACTAAAACGCTTCTATAGAATTGAATATGTTAATCTATACTCTCATATGTATCCTTTTAGACAATTAATAAAGTGATATCAATGATCACTTCTTCCAAGATATACAAATCCAGATTTTAGGATTTATTTTCTGTACCTCCAGCGGTATGGAGAGGAGATTCTAAAGCCATTCTGAAACAAATTGAAGTTCAGTGACACAATATTCATTACTGACCTTCCGAATATATAAACTGGTTCCAAGGACAGACTGGTTTCAACTTAAACTTTGATGTGCATTCATTGATAACTTAACTCTTGTAAACTTAACACTTTTTGGAATAATGCCAGAAGAAGATGCGTTAATCTAAAAGGAAGAGTGCTAGAAATTTTTTGAACTCTAACTTGCAAAATTCTGCACGTCAGGCATCTCATATTTAGTTTAATTTGGTTAGCATATCTTTTTGTTTATACTATGAACTTGTTTATTATGTCGACACGAAAACATAGTTAAAAATATCTTTTATAATTGTTGTTGAATGACGAATTGTTGAAATAGTGCACTTTCGTTTAAGTCTTCTTCCCTATTTTTCCGTTTTTCTACTTTATCTTTGGCTGCGTTTCTCATATGAATCTGTTTCTTCATAACAAGAATTATTGAAAGTAAAAATTACCTCGTTCATAACTACTACAAACTTTTCATCTTCATTTTGTATAATGATATTGACACTAAAGCTTTTTAAGGCGTATTCACAATTATTGAACAAGATTGCTAGAGAGCGCAAGATTATTACTAAAGTTTTAATTAGCCACTTAAGCTTTTCATCTTCGCTTGACTTTATTCCTTAAAAAATTATTCGATAAAAAAGTTCCTCCATTTGTCAAATAACGACACCTATGAACGGAACGAAATTCGCTGTACTTACATCAGCTTACTCACCTTTACTTGAAACTTTAAATTACATCATTTATCTTTATTATAATATTGTTGGCTTTCACACAAATTTTTTTTTCAAGAAGGTACAATAACTGACTGAAGGAATTATGGATTGGCTATCCAAAGACATTCTGAAGTCTAGGAGACTTTTAACAGTCCACCGCTGAATTTACAGATTTTAGAGAAATTTGTCAAAATGAGCTCGAACGTTCCTTGTGTGCAAAATCACAAAATAATAATGATTGGTTAAAAATTTAATTTGGAATTTCAAGTGAATCAAGAAGTTTAACAAGTTGCGTATAATAAAAAAAGTTACTCATTTAATTGTTAAAACTGAATACAATTTTTATAACTTTATTAAATATTTATTACGTTAATGATAATTTTGTAATATATATAGATTTAATATCAGTATCAATATTTAAAATTGAAAATACCCATTGCAAAGACATCTAAAAAAATTTTAGTATTTTTTTAAATGTCATAATGGTTGAGTCAAATTTATTTTTGTCCATTACTTAATTATACCATTTAAAAGAGAGGTGGAGACTTATGAGGAGATTATTATATAAGTAAAATAGTTAACATGTTTTTCCATATACCCATGGCAATCAGTAAGATTTATAATTTAAACGTTAATTTTAATTTAATCATTTTTTTAATAAATAAATTCTTTTTTATAAAGGTGGTAATCATTCATCAAATAATAGTAATGGTCATGGAACGACTAGCCAAAGATCACCAGATTCAACCGTACAACAAAAAAACTTTGTCAATACGCAGAATGAAATTAAAAAACGAATGGCGAACGACAATAAAAATAGGGGTCCTCCTCCTCCAGCTCCAAGTAGAACACCCAGTTCCGATGATAACACGCCAAGGAAATTTCCAGTTCCGAGTAGAAACGGTAGCGCAAATCACCACGTGCACACAAAACCAGGCAGCGTGTCCGATTTATCGTCGATTACTTTCGAACACAACCGAAGCGCCTTGCACAAACGAGCGGTCAGTAATTCAAACATTGGCGTTACGGAAAGTTCGGAGATCAGCAACCGACCAACAAATCTCCATCCAAAACCGAGTTATGGTAAACCGAACGTTGCCCCTAAGCCGCCGGTTCTTAACGGAAAAATAAAACCTTTAAACCGGACGCAAAGTATGAAAAATCCTCGGTCACCGTCTCCTCAAAGCCCGGGAACGCTTGAAAAGAATATTTCTAATTTCGGGACGGTGAGAAATTTGAAGCCGGATATAAAAGACGCTTTAGCGAGTATACATCAAAAAGGACATAGAGCACCAATGGCTGATAGACCAAAGGGACCACCTCCATCAATTCCTCAACAGCCTGGTGGCTATGGATCTCAAGTGTCTCTTACGTCTAGTAAAAGTATTAAACATCCGGGACACGCGCCGCCTCCACCACCGCCGTCCATGGTTACTGCTCCAAATCAACCACCTCCTGTTCCTCCACATAGAACTGCGCCACATGTACCTCCAAGAACTGTACCTCCACCTCCAGTAAGTAATTCAAATAATTACTAAATAATAAAAAAAATTAATAAATAAGTACCTGTATAAAATTGTTGGAAGGATTCAGATAAGTAAACCTGGTTTTCGTCATCACATAAACCATAACAAAAATCCAATAAGCTGTTTTTGAGATAATTATAATGTCTTGATTCTACTGTTATCTATAGGGTCGTTCAAAAAGTTAGCATTACGTTATAAAAATTTCAATTTAACGTCAATAAATCCTAATATTATAAAGTTTATTACAACTAATAATTTCATTAATCAATTTTTAATTTAGCCCTCTTTGTCTTCCAATGGCAACGCGCCTCCACCTCCACCGAGAATCTACTCCATGAAAGACAATAACCTAAGTAGACAGTCTTCGTCGCCATCCGATTTCGAAGCGAGGTTCAAATTTCCGGATGTTAGCACTTTTCCGGCACCGCCAAAATTTAAAGGTGTTGAAAAAATTTATGGGAAACCAGGTAAATCAAAGATCACAAATTGATTCAGACCATTTTTTTTTATTGGACACTTTTTCCATCATTATGTACAATCAAAAATGAAACCAACATTTATTTTAATTTGCTAAATTTAGCATGCAAATTATCTAGAAATCATAATTAGTAACTGCTTGAAGTGTAATGAGATGATGATAAAAGTGGTCTTAATTCGATTATTAAGATAAGTTTTGATGTCACAGTATGAATATTAATAGCAATATTTTAATTTGTTAATAGCAAAGCTGTTTTTTTATTATTTATGTTGCGATTTTTTTATGCGCTTTGCTTCGATGTAGTAAATGGATCTATATTTTTGAAGATGCAGCTTGCAAAACCTACTTTTCTATATGCAGAATTTTAAGACTTCATTATGTAAGTTTGGTGTTGGCCGCCCCCCTTTCTTCGTAGGTGTTTGAAATAACGGTTTTGTTAAATGTAGTCTATTTTTTTTTGCATGTATTTATGTTCAATCACTAAACTATACAGAATAATTTCAAAGTTAACATTTTATTTTTTATTGTAGAAGTAATTTTTGTTTGGCAATCAAATAATCAAATATGACTTTTGCAAGGTATTCAAATTAACAAAAAAAAGAACATTTATTTCATTTTTTGCAACCAACTTCAATGGGAGTAATGCAACTCTTTAAGGTGTTGAACTTGTTACTTATTTAAGAATGTAGGTATGAAGACTTTCACTGCCAATGTTAATTGAACTAACACTGACACTATCAATGGAATTAACAGTAGACCTTAGAAATCTTCGGATTAAGCTGTGCGTCTTTTAAAAAAGTATTTGACCTTTCTTATTTCTTAAATTTCTTCAGAAATAAGTTCGAAGTGAAGAAGGTTGCAACATGGAATCAAACATGAAACGTCAAACACTTTCTTAAAAGACTTTGTTCTTAAATTCTAGGTCTACTGTTAGTTCTAATGATAGTGTTAGTTCTAGTTCAACATTAAGAATTGTTGCATAACTCTTCCAGGTATAGAATACCTGGACTAAAAATTATTCTTAGATAATGTGTATATAAAATGAATAATAACCATTTGCTGAAATAAAATAAATGTTTATCCTATCTTGTAAATACTTATGACTTTAAGATATAGCTATCTTTTTGGCTTTCTACATATTAATTTATTACTTACTGTATGTTATATTTTATAATTTTTTAGTCGCCTCTTTATGATAACCACAAAAAGCCATAGAAAACTTTGAAATAATTCTTTATAATTATTATACAACTTAAAATTTTTATTTTCTTTCACATTATTTTTTTGTTTCTTTAGCCTCGACCACGTAACGGACTGAAAGCATGGTATTTTCACCCCCCACCCACACTTCGGACTGATTGCATGGCATTGTGTGAACTAACTTAACCCCAACCCATATCACTCCTATTGTGTTAACTTACAAAGAAATGAAAAACGAAAAAAAAAAATAATGAATATCAAAATCATCTTGGATAACCGAGAAGGTTTTTTAGGTTATTTTTGTTGTAGTTGTTGCTATCTATTTTTTATAGCTGGCGGTAAGCAGCCGGCTCCGTTGCCCCCTAACCATGTCATCTTGAATAACAACCGCCTGTGGGAATCGTCGACTTGCTAGCAGCAGCTGGCATAGCACCACATCCACTGCTCAAAATTGTGCAATTACGTGCATTCGTTGTTCTGCCGAAAGAATCATTAGTTTATGATTCGTTTCGGCCATATCATAACAATTTAAATTTACATTATTTAATCGTAGCGTTTTTATTTAATTTATTATTCAAAATACGTTTTGGGAATATTTAAATATCGCTGTGGGGAAAGTGTCGTTAGTTAGGAGGTTAGGAAACTTTAACAAAAAATAACTGCATAAAATAATAGTATAACAACGAATTATATGAATTTAAAAAGGGCATAAGATTAAATGATTCTGTCGTTGTCATTGACAGTCAAAATTTATTGCATGCCACGATACAAGGTGATACAAATTTAATTTTTGAAATAATAAGGGAATGTAAAAATACTGTTTGAGTTGTTATAAATTTGGTAATGTGTTTTATCATCCTTGGGAATGAGTCATTTTCATTTATTTAATGGTTATTAATTTATTGGCCAATAACAACTGGTTATGAGTAGATTATAATAAAGAAGAATTAAAAGTAGTTTTGCAAGCTTTGATAAAATTTCAATAAATAATTGAAACTAAAAATAATCTTTCTGTAATTACGCTTTGTTGGTACATGCTACAAATAGAAGTGTATTTTTGAAAAGCATTTTTATCCTATTTTTTAATTTCTGGCAATTTTTTGTTATGTTTTCTGCCTTCGTTTTTACCCCATTATTCTTGTGCTGTTTGAACCATTTTGTTTCAAAATCTTTCCTATTTGTAGTCAAAAAATATAGTCGAAGAGAATTTTATCTTTGTCCTTCCAAGCAGTTAGTTCCTGGACTTATTGTAATTCGGAATTAGACATGATTTAACCAACATGATAAGTACTCTTAAAAATATATTTGTTATCTGGTACAACATTTACATCTCACATTTAAGTTTTAATTATTACTCGCTTGCTCGTTTGGTGTTGGGTTTGAATAATTGAAACCAAATAGTTCAATATAGTGTAAAAGTCAAAAGGGAATATAGCCTGAATAGATATATATTTATGTAATTACACCAAACCATAAATATCTCTTATGCCATTTGATATATCTTCATTTTGAACAAGGTATCGAAATTGCGCAGCCCTTTTTGGGTACAAAGAATAGTAAAAAGGTAAAAATTGCGGCATTGCATGATCGAAGAATTTAAGTATGCGAAGCTGGATTGTTGTATTTTCAACATTCATCGGCAACATATCACTTCAATAGCTTCAATTCTCCTTCGACGTGCAGCATTCATGGTCTAGGATTCTGAGCCATATGTTGCAATAGGAAACACTTCATCTTGTTTTGGTTTCTTTGCAGAGACGGTTTTCCCAGATTTTAACCAGTCTCCCCAAATCTTTTGCCATTCCGATTCTTCTCTTTATTTCTTGTTATAGATAATCCATTTTTAACTTCTATGTCATAGATTAGCTGCAACGGTTGAGATACTATAATCTAGGTCTATAATCTAGTAGAATCTAGGAGGATGCAAAGCAACATGCCTTTGTATGATTGGTACCAATTTTACTGAAAACAGTTTACTGAAAACAAACAAAGAAATGTTTACGTTAGTTAACATTTTCAATACAAGGAAGCTATTGAGCATCAACATTGATCTTGGAATTTCTAAATCCATGTCAGAATAAGGAACTGCAATCCCAAAGAACGTTACAAGATGCTTTTGATCTACCGAACATGCAAGTACGTCATCACACACCATCTCACGTGATACTTAGCTATGATCCATCCATATATTGGTCACAAACCTTGGGTGATGTTGACGTCACAAAGTATAAAGGTGTCTCCAAATATAGAGCGGCAAATGCGTTTCAGCAACGCGCAGCGTTCGCAGGACACAATTCTGCTACGCGCAAGTTTGGACATGCCAAAGAATGCTCGCCATGCACTTGCTAAAAATGTACAGTTACAAGCAGAAAGAAGAGTGTGACACAGAATAACCAGATAAGTCACTTGGGGTATCTAAATCATAACGTCACTGCAAAGACGCAGAAAAATCAATTTTGGCGGGATACCCCCAGTGACTTTTCTGGTTATTCTGTGCGTTTAAGTCCCTTTTTTAAGATGGCGGAATTTAAAATCCAACCAAACCAGTCAACATAAAAACTAAGCAGACTATCTTGAATGGCGCATAGTTTGAGTGGCCTATCTGAATTAAAGTATTGTTTGTATTTTAGTTGTTATCTACTACGCCAAATTGTTTGCTTAATATGAATACATATTTGGTTTTTGTGCAACTTTCATTACTTATGTATAATGATGCATGGATTGATATGATTTAATTCAAGTATGATATTTTATTCGAAACATTCAACAATTATTTTATTGCGGAACAATTTCGATTCTTTGTATCTTTCTTCCTTACATTTTTTGCATAAACAAGCATGAAATCGTCATCTTCCCTTTTTAATATAAATTTAGTACTCACCAATTTGTTATTTTTTAGTGTTTCAACCTTATTCTTTCCAAATATTAAATTTGAATCGCCTTGTACAATAATAGTTAAAGGTTATCGCAAGATATTGTTACATTTATGAGATGGTATAGAATTATAATAATTATTAGCGTTAACAAAGATGTTTTACATAATCACAGTAACAGAAGATTAAGTATAAATGAATGTAGGATAATTTATAATCTGGAAAACTAAAGAAAATTTTAAAAAGAACAAGTAACTGTTTTTAAAAGTCTTGTCTAAGCTTACAAGGAATGACACAGATAACCTTTTAAATAATATAATAATGCACATCTTTCCTAAATGTTTTAAAATATACACGATGGCAAAAAAGTACATCTTCCTAACCTTACCCTTATGTTGCGTCTGACGATACCCTATCGAAATAAGGTTAAAATGATGGAGATGGAGGAGAGGGGGATATAAAAAAACGTTAGTCTTCATGGCTGTGGCTAATCTATATCAATGTATAATTGTACATTTTCCGGGATAATTTTCCCGCGTTCAAACGGAGCATTAAGCTAGTTATTGTTACACACGCACTGGGTTTTTTTTGAACGATGTCGACGCCTTTTTGTGATAAGACTGCTGCTTCGTCAGGTGACTTCGAAATATATATTATAAAATATATATTCAATCGATTAAAAATTAATTAAAAAGGTTTTGTTTACCGTTTTATTATTATTATTCAAATCAACTTTTTCTTTCTATGGTATTTTCATTAACGATTAAAACCCACAATTTCATTTGATAAATATTTTGAGATTACGTGGTTTTCAACCGTAAATGAAGTTAAAATTGTATTTATTATTTTCCGTCTGTGTATTTTTATTTTATTATATTTTATTTATAATGTTTTTTTTTCTCTTGTAAAACAAAATCCGCAAAAAAAAATCATAATCAAAGTGTACATGAAATTTACATATTATAATAAGTATATTTTGTAAAAGATGTTTTTTTCCGCGTTGGATGAATTTGCATAGTCAATTTTTTTACTCCCCTTATAGATAATCAAATACATACACCTGTTGCGAATTCACTTTAATGTTGTTTAAGTAATACCAAAATTTAAAAACGAACGATACGAAAAACGTGTGAAAATGCTGTAAAAACGTTAAGCGGACATTTTTTTCTTTCGTGTTTTTAGATTAAAAAAAAAAAATAATTAAAAATAGGAAAATCACTAGGTACTTACTAGGTAAACGGTTCGAGTTTGGCGATAATAATTAATCGATGTGAAGAAGAAAGGGACGCAATATTTTACCTAATTAAATAAAAACCTTCCTACTTTGGTATTTATTAAAATTTTGCTTCCAAATGTTATCTTATTAATTATTATTCCTTTTTTTAATTGCAGCTTTCGTTAAGCTCATACTTATAATAGTCATTATGTATTAACGTTGTATTATTATTATTATTCACTTATTAAGTTTCTCTATTATTTTTTTTTGTTTTTGTACCGTATCATTATTAGCTCATACTTTCCTTAATTACTTCTTTTAACATTTAATTTTTATTTTGTATTTACTAGTCAAGTCGCATTTTTAACGATTCATTTATCCCATTGTATAAGAAGTACAGTGCCTAAAATCTAAATAATAAACACTAATGTATATAAGAAATTGTACATATGTAAAGACTTAATAAAAATAAATCATGTTAAATATTTTTTATGGTTTACTTTAATAATTACCTTTATTTTCTTTCCTTTTTCTTTGAATTACAATAATAAATCATTTAATAAATATTCATTTATTCGAAATATTTATTTTGTTAATGACACAAAATGAATACACTATTGTTTATATAGTTAAATAGGTTGTTATATTTAGTTCGCGAATTCATAGATTTGGAACTAATTTGAAGTTTAAACTTACCTCTAAAATAAAAAAAAATATGATTTTGCGCTGTTTTGTTTCATTGTTATAGAATCCTTTTCGATCAACATATCTGTTAGTCTTACTCCCATTTCTAAACACTTAATAACTGTTTTAAGAGTTAAAGAATTAACATAGCTGGAAAAGTATTTTCGTTATTTTCATCGCTGTCACTGCATTCATGATTTATCATCAGTTACTAAATCTGCCAGCTCTTCTTCTTTCAGTTCAGAATCATGTGACTCAAGTAGCTCTTCAATATCTGTCTGTTGAATGATGATCATTAAACCATCTCCCTGGTAATGACCCCACAAACTCATCATCTCTCTCTGTTGTGACAACATTTGGCCAGATTTTCCTCCAGCAACCATTCAATGTGGATTTTTCAATTCACCGCGCGACTGTTCATTAATTTTCCAGCATTATAGTAAAGTTATATCATTTGAACAAATCAGAAGAGTAACATGGTCTTTAGCCACCTTATACCTAACCAGGAGCCGTTTTTTTATTTTTGGATATGAAAGTTCTTGAGGACATTTTTTTTTCAAAAATGGCCGGTCTCCTCTGCAATGAATCCTTGCTGCGGGACTTTGTGGTGCCAGAGCAAGCAGTTGGTATATCATTTGCGATGGCCAAACATAGGATTGGACTGTAGGCTGAAGAGAGACTTCGCCTACTGTGGACCAGTTCTCCTGGAATGAAACACGCTAAATTGTTTATTAACATCTCTACTGTCAAACCCGGAAATATTTTAGGACTTGCTCGTGCCAGTATTCAAATTCTAATGAGTGTCTTTACTGGTCACTGCCGATTACACTCAACTTGTTGGGCTTAGCCGACGATGTTGAATGCTGACTATGTGCGGAGGACGAGGAGACAGTTGAGCATGTTTTATGCCACTGCCCTGCTGTTAATCGTATCAGATTCTCGTTGTTTGGGTTGCAGTTTATCTCTCCAAAGGATCTGAATTACTTTTCACCGAAGAAGACATTAAGGTTCGTTAAGAGCATTGGACTGCACGGTGAAATTTGATATTATCTATCGGGGTACAATAGATCTTTAAGGTCGTGGTCCAAAGTTGGTTGGTGCTCTTATCCGACATATAATTTATGTACCTAATGTAATGTAATGCCTATATTTCCACTAAAATATACCCACAGATGTGTAAGAGTATATTTACTACTTAATTGTACAAATTCTAAGGTTAAAATGTTTACTGTAATTATGGTATTTTAAAATTATCCCTATTTAGTTTGTGGTGCTATTTATTAATGAAAAATGATACGTTCACGACATAAACAAAATTATTAATTATACTATGAAATATGTAAGGATTGCCAGACAATAAGTAAAGTATCCTTGAAGAATCGACTATAAATATGGTCCCTAAATGACTAAACGACCATAAAATTAATTTATTCAAACGTTATCTATATTTAATTGTTAAGAATATGTAGATTCATTACATTTAATTCAAAAAACTGTTATTACACTACAACCATTATGCAATGAGGACTTAGAACTCGTGTGTAATAACCTAACCTAAAAAGTTTGTTTAATAAGTTTATAAACGTGTAGGTATCTTACAAAATATCGTGATATTGCACAATTTAATTTTCATTCTCAATGAAAACATCACGAAGCAAAGATGAAAAGCCTACGTAACATTCTGAAACCCAACAATTTTCAATTTTTAAATCAAAGAAGTATATCATCTGCTAAAAGGCAAGTTCAAGAAATTCGAATACCTGTTCCTGCTGGTTACATAGCTGGTAAATGGTGGGGTCCACAAGATAAAAGACCAATACTCACTTTTCATGGATGGCAAGTAAGTATTTTTATAAATAATAAAAGAATAATAAAATAAATTTATCTCATTATTTAGGATAATTCAGGAAGTTTTGACCGTTTGGTTCCTCATTTACCAGAAGATATTCCAATTTTAGCTATAGATTCCCCTGGGCATGGATTTTCTTATAAACTCCCCCCTGGAATGGCTTACCACAATATTGATGCAACAATCATTACTAAGCAAATAAAAGATTATTTTGGATGGGAAAAAATCAGTTTAATGGGTCATTCTTTAGGAGCTATACTTTCCTATACGTACGGTTATTTATTCCCAAAAGATATAGATTTCATCGTATGCATAGATGGCTTACATCCATTAGTAAATCCTAAAAAATTGGATAGAGTTAGTCAAAGCATCGAAGAGCAAATCAAATACGATGCTTTAAACAGTTCCAAAGAAGAACCCCCAAGTTATTCAATCCAAGAAATGGCAGAAAGAATGCATAAAGCCACTGCAAAATCAGTGGATGTTTCTACTGCAAAATATATTTTATACCGAAACATTGCTCCATCAAAAAAGAATCCAGGAAAATTTTATTTTAATCGCGACGCACGTTTAAAAGTGGGCCCACTTCAGGTTCATGACACCGCAGAAATGATTAGAGTTGCTGAAAAAGTTATTTTTCCCCTTCACGTTACGAAAGCGGATAAAAGCCCGTTTTTCGGTAACCAAAGCCTTTTTCAGGAAATAAACGCCGTATTAAAAAAATGTAATAAGAATTACGAATTTCGTAATGTACCTGGAGTTCATCACGGTCATCTTAACGACCCTGAATGCGTTTCTGGCTTAATTACAAACTTTATTCGTAAACATGATCAATTTGATCGTTCTACGGGAGGGTTAAAAGATGAAATGAAAGTTGATGAAAGCATATATCCTATGTTTAAGTATAAAAAAGAGATTTTAGGTGAATTATAGTTAATTTGTATTTTATCGCGAAATTATAGGGCAATTTATAAATTTAGATATATTTTTTTATATAAATTAAATCAAAAATTTTATATATTGACGTTGACAGACGTATGTACAATGTTATAAAAAACTTTTCGTTTATACTTTAATTAAAAATTTTAATGTTATTAGATAATTTACACATTTGTTATTTATTATTTCAATAAAAGTTATGTTATATTGCGAGTGTACATAATAAATTTATATATGTATATATAAATAGTTCATATCAACTCCTTATTTTAGGATACGTTCAAGAATTGATTTTAACTATTTTGTTATTATTCTGCATACTAATAATATCTTATAAAAACTTTTTTACAATTTTTTTTAACTATTTTGCAATAATAACATTATTTATTTATTAAAAATAAATATTTTATCCAATTTTAAAAGAAATTAACTATTTTTTGTGTTCGCCGTAAGATGGCAGCAGCGTTGATTTGTTTCGAAAATAAAAGATAAACGAGCAGTTGTAGTTTGCATAATTATAAATGTTGCAAAAATGGATTTAAATAAACTAGAAAATGAATTCGAAAAGATTGTTGGTTCTTCATGCGAATCAACAAGTGCACAAGAACGAATTATATTGACTCAGCGAGCAATAGGAAAATGTAAAAAAATTATACCTTATAAAGTTCTAAAATAACCACTAATTCTTGTTTTCTAGACTACAAAACTGAACATGAATTACTTAAGAAAGAAAATGATCAAATTGATGACCAAATGGCTAAAGACGGAAAACAAATACAAGAAACGGAAAAAAAAATTCAAGAAGTGAAAGAAATAAAAGATCAGTAAGTTCAATTAATTTTCAATCTAAAAATATCTCACTCGTAATTCTTAAACAGACTCATTTCTGCTATGTCAACACTTTCAACGGCAACAATACATTTATTGGCACGAAAAAATGAAGTACAAGAAGACGTAATAAAGTGGGAAAATAAAATCAACAAAACTGCTGAAATAATGGAGAATTTTATAAAAAAAGAAACCGCAAAACGAGAAGAGGGAAATGATATTTACAAACAAGTTATTAAAAAACGCAATAACATAACAGCATTACAAATTGAACGAGCCGTTTTAGAAAAACGGATTGAAGTACAACAACGACAAATTAAACAACGAAAAGAAATAAACTATTTGTTATTTCGCAACGAAATTGTTGAATTTGTGAAATCGGTTACCACCCATAATCGAATAATTCAATTAAATAAAGATATAGCTAAGATGAAATTGAATTTGAACGAAATGAGCGTCAAGTTCAATCAGTTATCTTTGAATAAGTTATCAACCTTTAAAGTATGTGAAATACCTTTGTGCTTAAAAAAATTTATTTTCTTTTTTTTTTCTGTAGGTAAGATCTGTTTTTGCCACAAGTTTTCAACAAACAGCTTTAAACAATAGAGGGAATACCTTAAAATCAGTAGATAAAACAACTAAGACCATAAAAGGTCAAGGTAAGATTTAACGTGTTCTTTAATAAAGAGTACAGTGTGTTAATTAATTATTTTATCCAACGTCATCATTGCAAGTATGCAACCAATATCACAATGTAATACGGAAATCGCGTATACTGTGATATTGGTTGCATACTTGCAATGATGTCGTAGGGTACGATAATTAATTAACACATTGTATAACAAGAAATATAACTAGAAACTTTGCATAGCACCTCCATGTTATGTGGTCCCTGGTAATCATATTGACATATCCCAAACAAAAAAAACGAGTTTTGCACAAAACTAGAATAGCTTGATGACTATCGCTATTCTTGATTCTTCTTGATGATCATCAAGTCTTCTACGCCAGAAAAAAAGAGCGTAGGATCGATGAAAGAGATTTGGGAATAAATCTGACTATTTAACCAATTTATTTTAAGAGGTAGAGCTAAGTACCTCATTGAATTGGACACAAGGATTATGGGCGAGGTGTTTAGAATAGCATCATTTCCAACCTCAATCACGTTTTGTCTTTTGTAAAGAGTGGAACGGATGATCTATTCCTTCTACAAGTTCATTTGAGGGGATTTCTGCTAGTGAGATCTGTCAGCTTTTTGCTAAATTCTTTTCTTCTGTATTTCTTACTCTTAGCCCTATTCTAACATAATCTCTGGGTAGTGATTGTAGTGGGTTGAACGAGGTAGAAGAGGAATTCAGTAAGCTTAATAAAATAGTTGGAGCTGATAGTGTACTCTTCGATTCTAGTTAACTCTTGTTTTCTTGCGTCAACTATTCTACTCTTCCACTAAATATTCTATTTAACAAATCTCTTTATTGTGCTGTTTTTCCAACAGTTTGGAAGCAGGCTTGCGTTCTTCCTATCTTTAAATCGGGGGAGCGTGGAACTGTTTCCAATTATCGTCCAATTTCAATCAGTATTTGGCAAAATTTTTGAGAAAATATTGCATACTCGATTTTTCTTTGCTATTAGGTCTAAAACCGATCCCGATGGCTTTTTTGCAGGCTGCTTGCTTGAAAGTAACTTGTTGGAATCTACTGATTTTATTCTACATTCTATGGATCAAGGTTGATCGAGTTGATCATGGCCTTCTGTTGTCCAAGCTGCAGAATTTTGCTCTAGTGAAGTTTCTAGTTTCTTTTCTAATAATATCGTCTATGAAAGCTCCTGAATATATAAAGAAAATTTCTTTTTTTTTTTCTAGAAAATAGCTTAAAAGTTGTAAAACCCGAAACTACAATTATTTCAAAGCAGCCTAACGTAAGATTTTTCTCAAAATTAATTTCTTGTATTAAAAAATATTTCTCATTATTTCTTTAGAAAACCACTTCAAGTACATTAAAAATACAACCACCAAAAACTCTTTTGTCCAGCACGGATCACGGTAAAAATTTATTTTTATACTTGATATCAGAATAAAACAATATATTTTTTTATACCAAAGAAGATAATGATAGAAAAGAGTTTCAACAAAGATCCGATGAGCGTAAAAGAAAATATTTACATTTAATGTCCACTTCATTTGATGATTTGGCGAAGAATTACCAAGAGAATACCGAAACAAACATAAAAGAAACCCCTAAAACTAACGTTGAAAAGGAGAACTCTCAAAAAGGAGTTATTAAAAAAATCGAAAAGAAACCTAGCAAAGAGGAAAATATTACGATATCTTCGAAAAATTCATCGAAGAAGATTAAATTGATTGACAATGTAAAAATTCAACAATCACCGCCAGTTGAAGGTCTATTTCTCATTCCAAAATCTATTGAAGGACGTAAACCGAAAAAGGTATCGTTTGCTGAAAGAAAAACTCAAGAAGAGGTACCTTTAACTGACGATACTAATCATAATCATAATAATTCGGTTATAAGCGGAAATGAAAGTAATCAAAGTTTTACGTTTTCAAATACTGAAGAAAGGGAAATTTCAAAATTCTTTAAAAACCCCGAAGGAGATAGATCGGTTTGGGAAGATGAAGATAATTATGAAGTGAATAATGAAGTTAATTATTCCTTTTTGACATCTCAATATAATACCACAAAAAGTAAGTATTTACAACAATTACAACGATTGTATTTAAATGAGTTATAATTTAAAACTGTTTTGTTTATAGCACCTACAGACAATACTAATAATGACTCAACTGCGCAAGGTTTGATTATTTCACTTATACATTTCTTTTTTATACTCTATTTATTGCCTCTTTTTAGACAATTTCTTTTTAACACCAAGCGATAATGGGAACATGTTGGGTTTTGATTTTGGAATGGGGAATCAACAAGCATCTAGTAACCCATTTTCACTCTTTTAAAACCTTATAGGTTCATTTGTTATTAAATATTTTGTTAAGTTAATAATTTATTCTAGTTATTATTATTAACCGTTATTTCGTTAAGTTTCTATTAAAATTCAAGCTGGTTTCAATAATAATAAAAACGAAAATTTAATAAAATATTTATTTCTTATTGTTGTCAAAATCTACAACAGATGCTATTTAAAAAAATTACAACAAAATAAATAGCTTAAATAACAGATTCTTTTAAAGATAGATTTTTAAAATACAACTCATATGTATTTAATTTCTCCTCCTCCAAGGTAGTGTTATGAAACAAAAAAATATGTATGATTTTTAAAATTACTTTTGTGTATGGTTATTGAATTGGGAATGTCACGTTATTGTTTTCGTTTAAATCCTACTCCTACTGTACCCAGTCTTGACTTCAAACAGTTTGCGGACAAAGAACACTTGAATTGTCGTCGCCGCTACGATGAGAATAATATGCGCCATCGATACACGGAAAACGTAAGTGTTGTTACTCTCTAATAAATTAAAATCCCACGCTTCTCTTCCTCTGGCATGGTATTGATATTGGAGCATTTCATTTATATTTTGCTCGACACTTATAATAGCGGACTAAAATAAAATTAAGGTTTAAAATTATTTACTTATAGATGTTTCAAAAGTAATGTGCTAAACTGGAGCAATATTTAAGCTGGAAAAATTATTGTGTAAATGTTTGTTAAAAAATTGTTTTAGATAACATCTTAATGGTAAAACTTTTGGCAATGGCATTTTAGGATTTCCACAACTACACTATGTAATGAATTAAAAATTAATATGGATAAGTTATTTAATTAAGGTGAACCTCGGTCAATTTTCAATCAGTGTTGCTGATTCTGAAGACTCTTTGAAAATTTAAACAATTTATCATGTTTTGGAGTTATTGGTCTTCTACCTTACTACTGCGGGATGCAATGAAGTACAGCCATTTTCCAAGGAAACTTATTAATCCCATTAAATTTATCCGATAGATAAATTGGCGCTCTTAGCCAATGAGAGCGCTTAAAACCACTGTAACCATGGTAATTATCCCTTACATAGTTTATCAGGAGGATGGTAAAAGTGAACCTAAAAGGCAAACAATAATATTCTGTTATAGGATGGAGCCGGTGCAGTTTAAGAAAATTGAATTAATTTTGTTCTCCAAGCAACGGATTTTAGGAAATATTATTTAAAAAATCTTTCATAATAACGATCTGACGATTACATCCGAGGTAAAATATCTGGGTGTAATCTTAAACAAAGATTAAGGTATAATTCTTACTTACGATGTAGAACCAAGAAAGCAGCAAGCATTGCTAATAGGAGCTATAAGTCCGCAGGCTTTCAAAAGAGGATTTTGACAGGACACTTAAAAGTTTTGGAAACAGGTGATCTGAAGATGTTGCGAAACTGATGATGAGACGGTACCTCATATTGTTTATGATTCTTTGTATTGTATCAAAAAATATGCTCTTCTAGTATATTATAGTAACGTTTATTAGGTTGGCTTTCTAATCATGAATGGGCTACAGCTAGTAAAGACAGTCCATAAAGTAGGGGATATAGGCGATAAGAATCATTATAAATGGTTTATGGAAAAATCCCTGAAACTGCATCATATCGTGATCGCCAACCTATTAGCCAAAGCATGATAGTTGTGACTAAATTTAAAAATCATGGGTTCGTATGAGATAGATCTCTCGAAGTCTGTCCGACCAAATGTTTCAGGAGGTTCAACAAAACTAGTCATAACTCGTATTTTTCATAAACCATTAATAACGATTATATACGGACATACTGATTAAACGCAGAAATTGTATATTCAATCACTGACGTCTTTGACTTTTCTAAGTAGCGCTGTAAAAGTGGAACAAGTCGAGGTCATAAGCAAATTAATTTTAGGCAAGATGTTTTAAATTTTTTTAAGCGGTCAAATACGAAACCAAACTGTACAAGCGATTACGAAGAATATTTTATTGATAACACGTCTTGATATTAAGACTATCATGTAAGAATAGTCCACATTCTTGAGAGGTTGCAGTAAATCTAATGAAAGATACTGAAAAGGATATACAGAAAGTGACTTTGCTACAATAACCCTTTGATGGTTAAGATTAGCAGGACCCATACAACATGGTGAAGATTCAAGGAAGCTTTTCTTATGCAGTTCGAAAAAACGAACTAGAAAGACTCAACGTAAAAAGAAGGAAAAACGAGTGTGGGGGAGAAGCCTAACAATGAAAGCCTTGGGTAACAAGTCGTAATATTTTGGGAATTAAAAATCATTTATTGAAAGAACTGAAAAGAAGACCCAAAACATTAAGAGAACTATTTACGAATGGATCAGAAGAGCTTTTGTTTTTTGGCGCCTAAAGTATACAAATTGATTTCACACAAAAATACTCATTTGAGAAACAGTATAAGCGTGGAAGATCGCTTTATTGTAACAGTTAGATTCTTAGCAGCTGATGAATCTTATGTAAGTCTTTAGCTTAATCCATTGATTTACTTCCTTATATCTGTTGCTGTACAACTTTCAACAATATCACAAATAGCCTCAGCAATCAATTGATAAACAAGTAAAAGTTTGTTTCTGTATTAATTAGCACTTCATACTCGGAAATTAATAATTTAGTGGCAACTACTGTCCACTAAAACTGGTTAGACGCCATTTTGGTTCAAAATATCATGTGTTATATATATGATAATAGATCTATGACATAGAACCATGATAGTGGAATACCAGCCTAACAATAAGAGTTGATGAAAAAAAAAGTAAGAAATAGAAATGATTAGAATGTTTTTATTACAGATTATATTAATAGTTTTCTGGACAATGCTTCCAGGTACTATCTGTATTGTATAGTTCTGCATTTAGGAAAACAAACTTTGGAAGGATTATTGCCATGTGAGAAAATAATTAATCTGTTTTACAGCATAAATTATATTGTAGCTTGTGACAAGTAATAAATAAGCCAAATTTGTTTTTTGAAAGAAATACCTATCGCATACATCAAAGAAAAATGTCTTCTTGTCTTTATTTGATGCTAGAACTGAACTAGCAAATGGTAAGACTAATATTATTATTGATTACAATACAAGCAAGCATGGAACATATTAAATTGTACAACAAATTTAATTATTTTTAATTGTAGATAAAAATGAGAAGATTGATTTAGAAATATTGTCAAAATAATTTCAGTTTAGCACACTACTTAAACAACCATTAAGTTTTTAATAATACTTGTACTTACAGTGAAATTAGCAATATTCATATCAATAGATTCCAATTCCTTAGCATAAGATTCCCACATATCATATCGAACGACGGTAATATACAAGTTAACCAATTTGTCAGCAAATCTAGAAAACTGGTTATCAATGCAAACGGAATAATAACCACCGGTAGATCTATCATCTTGATATTCACTGTTGGGTTTCCATTGATAAGGATGAACTATTTTACCCGATGGGTGTCTTACAGCGAAACCAGCCATACCATCACCTCCTCTTACAACCTATATTTTAAAAAATCGTTTATTTACATGTTTGCTTACAATATTTTTACGTTTTTATTTTACTTACTTGAAAGCTCACGTAAAATGTGGCCCCTGGGTTAACATATTGAAAGTAGCAGTCTTCTTTACCCGGTTCTACGTGGACTTTATAGTCCATGGCGACAGCTGGTAAATTTTCATACCAAGGGACGGTGGCCACTTGGGCCCCGTTTTCATTGATAATTAATAATAAAAACACTAAACATAATAATATAAAGCTGGATAACGTGGCATTCATGTTGTATACATTTGCGCAACTGGTTGCCGGTCAAGAAGTGAAAGTTACAAATAAGGAGAAAGAGAATTGATATTCAGGCAGAATAAAATTGACCAATACTAAATGAACACATAATTATTGTTTAAACGCTTTATTTTGATTACAACGAATTTTATTTTTATTTTAACAAATACTCTCTTTTTAAACTTTAATTACTTATTAATCATTTTTGTTTAATTTAATTGAAAATCATAAAAATTTGATATAAACTAATTATGCATTTTATTCAAGAAATGATTAAATCGTTCAAAAACATTAATCTGTAAAGGTTATGTTTACTGTTTAGAGTGAAAATTGACAATTGAGGTTAGGTGCACGTGCTTTAATTTTTACTGTAATTATTAAAAGAAGAATGTGTTCAATTGGTGATGAGGGTATAGAAGATGAAGGCCCTGCAAAGTTTATGGAAAAAAAGCTTTCACTGTAAGTTAAAATTTAAAAAAAATTGTAACTTGATTGAAATATTTGTTTTAGACAAGATAAAACTTGTGTTAAATGTAAAACAAATAGATCTGTTATATTATTGAGATCCAAGGATTGTTATTGCAAAGAATGCTTCGTAAATGGAACTCTTCATAAATTCAAAGCATTTCTGGGGAAGTTACGATTATCTAGGAGAGATGAAAAAGTTTTAGTGTCTTATAAAACAGGTCATGTAACTTGTACTTTGTTGCAGTTTTTAAGAAATGGGCTGGATACTATGGCCGAACAGAAAAGATTAAAATTTCAACCCATTTTTATTTATGTAGAAAGTAAGATTATTTTTAAAAATGTCTATAGATTTATGTTGTACCATTACTTAAGGAATGAGGTGAGGATAACAGTCAAAAGGGTCAAAAGTCACAATGTTCTTTAGGTGCCATTTCTGATTTGGAGGTTAGCAATCATCAGGGCAATTCTAACTTTTAAGACTACAAATGTGAATGTATGACTTGTGCTGCCAAACAACTCCCAAAGGTTCTTCAACCAGGAGTTATCTCTTCTTCCTATGGACCTCTTTCCCAGAATTTTCCCCTGCATAATGATTTTGTACTTTTTCCCTCACATGACATGGCCTATATACAGGGTGTGTGTCAAATGTCTGGAATAACCAATAACTTCGCCATTTGTGGTTTTAAAGAAAAATGTTTCAAGTAAAAAATTCTTTATAAATTGTGGCGCATTTTTTGGTGATATTTACTTGTTTACATTGTTCTTGTTTCGTTGCTATGGCAACCCACATTGTTATTTTAAATGGGATGCATATGTTTTCTTTGCATATTTTGATAGAGGATAAATCCCTCTAAGCAATGAACATATTAAATCATATGGTTGCATAACAAAAAAATCGAGAAAAGATGCGTTCTCTGAAAATATTAAATCGGCAAATTACAATCAAAGTACGCGCCGAAATAACGCCGTTGACAGCTTTAAATGTCATAAATTGACGGTTTAAATAAACTTCTTCCCTGATTATCTCTGGTCGCAGTTCTCCTTCTGTATTTTCAAGGTCTCTCATCTTTAAAAAGTTGCTTAACATAGTTCCTCCATGTTTCTATTTTCTGTTCTATTTCCATGATTATTCTACCATCGTTATAGCACAAGGCTTTGATTTGTTTATGGTTACTGGTACCAGCAAGCTCTTTGACTTTTTTGTGTATATTGGAACTGTCATGCTTAACTTGCAGCATCTCAATCTCTTTACATTTTTGTTTGAAATAATTTTCCTTTGCCTTTCTGATCTTTGAGCGGATTGTCTGTTGTATTTCTTTATATGTTTGCTCATTTTTCCCTTTAAAGCTTCTCCTTTCATCCATAAGATTTAAAAAAAATTAAAAAAACAATAACTGCGTATGAGTAAAATAAAATCAAGCCCTCGTATATAGTTGCCGTATACTGCTTTTTAATGATGTGGATCCTGTGAGGGAGTGCTGAGCTTTCTAGATAACATACAAAGAATGCAAGATTCAACAAAATTTCATTCTTGCTCCATCAAATAAAGAGGAGCTTCACAACTAATCTACTTAGATAACTCTTTATTACACCATCAGATAGCCAATATATATTTTTGAGGAAAATGCATCAAGTCCATACATTTATTTTCTCTTATTGCAGTTTAAAAGGTTAATTACAATATTAGACCGATACATAGCTTGGTCTTGGATGAGCAAATAATGGAAGGGTGATTTGATTGGGAATGAAGAGTACAAAAAGTTATCCACTACTCTTCTCACTTTATGAACATTTCAATAATAATATAACACCTTCACCTCATTCCATCAATAATTGTACAATACAGGTGTACTAAATCTCGAAATATTATCCATCATAGAAAAAAATTCCAATTTTTTTTCTAGAAAATTACCATTTATCACTTGAAGAACGTAAAAATGTTTTAAAAACAATTTCTGAACATGTTAATCATTTTAATTTTAAATTATACATGGTTTCTTTTGGCGACTACATTAAAACAGGACAATTAACCCTCTTTGAAAGTTGGAATACGATAAAATTAAGTGAAGATAATAACGACATTTACGAAATTTTAAAAGAAAAAACAAAATTGACTTATCAAAAAGAAATTTTTCATATTTTTGAGTGAGTAATATTTCTTATTTTAATTTCTTAATCGCCAAACATATTATATATTTTTAGACGTGACTTATTAATAAAATCAGCAAAATCTTTAGGTTGTTCTTTCATATTTACAACAGATCTCACCGCAGATATAGCAGTAAATCTTTTAACTAACGTCTCGTTGGGTAGAGGAAACCAATTGCCATTGGATATTGTAAAAAAACAAAATAATTTTTGAATATTAACATAAAATAATTAATTTTAGGGTGTTATTGATGACCGCGACGAAATAAAAATAATCAAGCCAATGAGGCATTTAAACATGAAAGAATGCGTATTTTACAATTATTTTAACAATGTTGAGCCAGTAATTACTCGAGTAATTGATGAAAAACCTTATTCCAGCGTACAAAATTTATTAACAAACTTTATTGATAAGCTTCAAGTTGATTATCCAGCTACGGTTACAACCGTTTTAAGAACTGGCGATAAATTAAGCATGGATCTAGCGAATCAATCAATATGCGAATTTTGTAAGGCACCAATTTTTATGAATAAAGACAAATTCATATCGGCCGAAGCGACGAATTTTTCGCGACATTTATCAACAATGCAGTTAAACATGGATGTAACACCAACAGAGAGATATGAAAAAGCTGTTTCAAGTTATTCTTCTAGTGACGATAAAAAAGATCTTTGTTATTCTTGTAAAATTATTTCGGAATTTATAATAAAATAAAAAAATTACACATATATTTTCTTTTATTATATTTTAATAATTTATATATAATAAATGTACTCATTTTAGCCTTATCGTTATTATTTTTTTGTATATATGTATAAATAACTTCTTTTTAATTAACATGAAACATTGAAATGGAATGCTTACAACATTTAAATACAGGATCTTTATTTTTAATGCAAAATATAGAAAATAACTACAATCATGTGATGCTTCAAAATAATCATAAATTCAGAATGTGACTAAAAAAAATGAAATTAAATAAATAAACACCCTGTATACATAGAAAGATCACACGTAAGAGTATCACTTGGAGGATTGTTGTTGATTGGCGGTTAATTTCGCCGCAACACCCTCCCAAGCGTGGACGTTCTTCTCGTAATATTCGATCTGTTTGTTTACAAAATCCAACATCATTTTTTTGATATACTGTTGCTTCTCCCATTGCCACTGTTCCAAATCACTGCGCAACTGTTCGTTGGCGCATTCAAGATTGTCTTGGTGCATTTCAACTTTTTTCACTAGCTGTGGTATTATTGTACCCAATTTTTCTAATTTGTCATCTACACTTGGTTGTTTCCATAATGAAAATCCGGATGAATGATTTTCAGTTGTTGCTAATAGCTAAAACCAAAATTTAATTTTTTTTGATTTTCCAAGTTTAACCTTCGAGCACGCACTCTGTCATAAATTTTATGACAGATATGATCACGTCGGTATTAATAAGTATTACGTTATTTTTAATAAAACAGTTAAAACATACATTTTGCTAGAGCAAAAATATTTAATTTATATTAAACAATTGTTAAAAACATAAAATTAAATCGATTAATTTTTGAAATCTTAACAACATACCGGGAATTTCACATATTTATATGAAAATATGCAATATATAAATGCAGTAACCAGAGTTACGAAATTACTGGGCACTTGCACTGTCCCACATAAAATGCAACATAGCTTAATGGTACAGGCATTGGGTAGTTTTGCAGAGGAGAAGTTTTGCTTGAAAAAAGGTGAACTCCTTATGACAATTTTGAGTTTTCGTCCGTCTTAAGACACACGGCTAACCCAAATGTTTCTAATTCTGGGTCTAGTGTTAGTTTCAGTGATAGTGTAAAACTAGAACTAACACTAGAACTAGAAACATTCGGGTTTAGCCGCACGTCTTTCAAGACGGCTAAACCCGAATGATTCTAGTTCTAGGTCTTGTGTTGGTTTTAGTGATAGTGTAAAACTAGAACTAACACTAGACCTAAAACTAGAAACATTCTGGTTTAGCCGCACGTCTCTCAAGACGGCTAAACCCGAATGATTCTAGTTCTAGGTCTTGTGTTAGTTCTAGTGATAGTGCTAGTGTAAAACTAGTACTAAGACTAGACCTAGAAACATTCGGTTTTAGCCGCACGTCTCTCAAGACGGCTAAACCCGAATGATTCTAGGTCTTGTGTTAGTTTTAGTGATAGTGTAAAACTAGAACTAACATTAGACCTAGAGCCATCGGGATTTAGCCGCACGTCTTTCAAACACGGCTATACCCGAATCTTTCTAGTTCTAGTATTAGTTCAATAAAAATATGCAACTAGAAACATTTTGGTTTAGCCGCACGTCTCTCAAAACGGCTAAATCCTAATGATTCTAGATCTAGGTCTTGTGTTAGTTCTAGTGATAGTGCTAGTATAAAACTAGAATGTGTAACAGTGATATCTTCTGTTAACTAGCGCTACCCACCACTGTCACTAAACTAACATTAGACCTAGAACTAGAAATATTCAGGTTTAGCCGTCTTAAGCCTTTGAATATATTGAATATTTCCATAAACTCACGAAAAACCGAAAATATTGAAAAGATGAAAAAATTTGGATTCCGACAAAATTGTCATTACGGACCTGTATTTTTCAAAAATGTGCAAACTAACCGAAATCTTCATGTATGGCTCAAAACCTGTTTATAACACATTTATATCCCTTAATACATCCTATAATATAAATACGGCCTTACAAGTCAGTAATTAATGTGTAAATTTTTGTCTTTTATAACTTTTTTTTGCCATAAAGACAAGGTCAATATATTTTTTTTTAATTTTAAATTTCTCCTCCAAGTTGCAGCCCTCTAAAATTAGGGGAAGCAAATTGTTTTTCTTTAATAAATCCACTATGGAGGAATTTGGAAGGATGAAATTTGGCAGATAACTATTACTATACTCTGTTTTTAAACCAGGAGGAGTAAACGCGAAAGTCAGATTTACACTAGGAAAAATCACCAGAAAATATCACTAGATATTTTGGCGGTAAATTTAAATTAATAATTATTATTATTTATTTATTTACTTATTATTGTATTTATTTTCGTTTGTTATCGTCAACACTAAACATACAAATTAACATTGAAGTTATGAGTGTATTTATTTCAAAATATAATAAAGAAGGGTTTAAGAACACAAAATTTACAATAATGACACGAAACTGTCGAATTGTCAATAACCTAACCTTCAAATTCAAAATTGCCTGTGTGTGAACCTTCCTCGCATTCAACCAATCACGTGCAAGGTCAATCTGGTGACAAATTTAAAATACTCCTCCTGGTTTAAAAACAGAGTATAATTGCCAAAGAAAACTTCAAGGTATAATTAATGTTTGTAAACAAAACTAACCTTACCTAACATTCCTTCACGCTATAATTGACATTACAAAAGAAAACTTCACGCTATAATTGCCATTACTAATTGCCAAAGAAAACTTCATGGTATAATTAATGTTTGTAAACAAAACTAACCTTACCTCACATTCCTTCACGCTATAATTGACATTACAAAAGAAAACTTCACGCTATAATTGCCATTACAAATTGCCAAAGAATACTTCATGGTATAATTAATGTTTGTAAACAAAACTAACCTTACCTAACATTCAGCGTCTGAAGACACAGGGCTAAACTCGAAACTTAAAAATATACAACTTAGCGCTGAATAACAATTAAAACTAGAACTAACATAATAAGGTGACACTTTTTGACGATTTTTATAACCCTAATATGATTTTACAAGAGGCTGAAAAAATCAACCCCATAACACTTTCCATTAGAACTTTTTAATACGACTACATTTTTTCATTTAAAAACTTGATTTCAATAGTGGGATTCAATATGCAACTTTTTTGACATTTTGTCCTAAAATTGTTAGTTTGATCACAAAAAAATAAAATAATACACATTATTTTATTATGTCAAATTGATCTCAGCATTATTTTATTTCTTGTGATCAAACTAACAATTTGTTAGTTGTAAAATGTCAAGAGATAAGAAAGTTGCAGATTTTTACCCTTAACTTTAGAGGGCTATAATTTGGAGGAGAAGGGGTTTTGACCAAAAAGTTATATGAAAGATCCCCCTTAATTTTCGTTGAAAAATCACCCCTTAAAATCTCTCGTATCAATTTAGATACACCCTGTATTATAAAAATAAAAATTGTCATAAATTTTATAATAGCGCGCCCTCTCGAAGGTTAAAGTGAAAATTAAAATAATTACTTTATCTTTTTCAGTTTTTTTTCGAGATAACTCTTCAATAGCTGCTTCATAAACAGATTGAAAACTTTCCCGCTTCTGTAAAGTTTCTTGAACAACATCGATGTAGGTAAGAAAATCCTTGATTGGATTTCCCACAATACTAGGATAAGCAGAAATTAAAACATTTTGGGCATTAGTGCTTTTTTCCAGAGCAGAAGCTGTGCTTTGTAATAAAACATTAAGTTCAGGTTCGGTTGCTGCCCAAGTTGTAAAAATCGGATAAAAAAACTGCATTTCAAGCACAAGATCTTGTTCTTCTTTATTAATACGATTTGCGATTCGTTCAACTGTTGTTAATTTTTCTGTTAAATTATTCAGGTAAGTTTTCATTTTATCAAATTCGTGATTACGGTACTTTAAAGTTTGATAAGTTGCATTGCCACTTGCTGGTTTTAGTTTATCCGATATTGATTTTTGTCTACGATGTAAACTAAAATCCTATAAACAAATTTAAAAAGAATAATTCTCAATTTAATTATAATTAACTAACCATTTGATTTGCTGTTAAAAATAACTTAAACTGCTCGTTACAACTAAGTATAGGATGTTTAACAATCCGAGATATGAACACATTTAAAGCTTTCATTCGCATCATAATAAAATCTTTTGAGTATCGATCTAATTGTCCAACTAAGGAATGTTTTGCAGGCAGTGGCTAGAATAAAAATTAGATTTCAAAAATTTGTTTAAAATCGATTATTGAAATGTACCGGAATGATACAAAATGGATGGCATTCGTTAAGTTTTTGTCTCAACCACAAAAAATCATTGTATCTTCTTCTAACAACATATTCGTTGGCGGAAAATTCAATTCGAGCAACCTTTGTGGTAATTCTGAACGTAATGTATGTTTCTAATGTGTCCAAATGTTTTTGTGGGTTATCAATTTTAACAAATAAATCTGAATTCTCTTCCATGTTAAGTTCTGAGAGATTTTCTATATCTTGTATGGTTGAAAAGCTCTCAATACTAGGTGATTGTACCTAAAAGAAATTTTAAATTAATATCTCTTTAACATAACCGTTATCTTTTACCAAAGAGCTATTTTCCAGGGTTGAGGCATTACTTAAGGATACAGTAGATACATCATTATCTTTAGTTTGTTTAAGCAGTGCTGATATTTCTTTATTTTCTGTTACAACATCTAATACAGCAGAGTTATTTCCAGCCATTTTTTTTTGTTGATTAAATTTTAACTTAAATCTATTATTTCTATCGTAATTACATTAAATTATTATTTATTGCACCTTGAGTATTGCATCTTGTATTCTTACTACATTTTGACAGTTGTCAAATAATGCTAATATAGGTTGGGAAATAGATTTTCTTTAATATGTCAACAACTTTTCAGTGGCACCATCTATTGAAATTTTATTAAATAGTAAAATTAACCTCAATTTTTTAAATAAACAGAAACTAACAATTCTAATAAAGATAATTAAATATTTAAATATCACTTAAATTTCATACATCAGTATACAACCTTATAATATGAATAAATTATTTATATTTCATTTGGCTCCATCTATTAAATTTTTATATAATTAAATTTTTTTATTTAAATTAAATTTATGTATTTTATTTTATAACTAATTGTTAAATAACAAACAGCGTAGCTTATTAGTTATCATCATCATTGGATCTTCAACCTTGAATACGCGCCACCGTTCCACCTGGTCCATATGTCTCGTTTATGGCCTTCCTCCACATCTCTGTCCTACCGGTGTTTGTCTAACTAGTCATAACTAGTATTTGTTTCGTTATTTCTATCTCATTGTCAGTCTTCCAAGTTTTATAGTTATCACTATATCCAGTTCCTTGTATGCTTGTATTCTTGATACAGTTCATGGTAGAAACATACAGAGTGTGTCAAATGTTTGGAATATAGCCAATAACTTCGCCATTTGTGGCTTGAAAGAAAAATGTTTCAAATACACGTTACTTTATTAATCGTGGCGTATTTTTTGGCGATATTTGCTTTTTTGTATTCTGTTTTGTTTCGTTGCTATGGCAACTAATATTGTTATTTTAAATGGGATGCATATATTTTTTTGCATACTTTGATAGAGGATAAATTCGTCTATGTGATGAATCATAGAAAAAATGGGTTTTCTGAAAATATTAAATCAGCAAATTACAATCAAAGTAGGCGCCGAAATAACGGCGTTACCCATATTTCCTTAATTAGTTGGAATATACATACATAAAGTGTCTCTACTTTTCTTAAACAGTTCCGCCGGGATATTATCCAAACCAGGTGCTTTATAATTCTCCAGTCTTTTTACAGCGTTTGCCCTTTGATTTGAGTCATCCAGCCACCCTTCCAGTTGGGTACCCATATTTAATCTTTCCTCAAAATTCTCTGTCCATCTTTCCTGTATCTCTTCCCTGCTACTTACTATATTATCTGCTTTATTACGACACAAGTTGATCCGTGGTAGGAAATTCTTCCTATCTTTATTAATTTTCTGACGGAATTTTCTAACTTGTTGTCGCGTATTCGTTTCTTCCAGACTTTGCATTTCCTTTTCCATGTATTCTCTCTTTCTCCTTCTATGTATCTTCCTTTCTTCTCAGCTTGTATTCTTCTTGCGTTTGTCTGGTTCTCTGCCTTTATTGTAGTGCTCTATATATTACATTTTTCCGGATTGTTATCTCTGCGCATTCCTTATCAAACCAAGTTTCATCTCGCTTTTGGCATTTTTCTTTTCCCAATGTATCATTCGCCACCTCTTCAATGCCTTGTCTACATTTAGCCCAATATTTATTGCTGTATCATTGGCCACCTCTCTTAGTTTTTCCATTTCTTCTAGTCCTTTCTGATATTTGTTCCTCTGCTCATCGTTTCTGAGTGTTATTGTGTCATATTTCTCTCTTCCAGTTCCTACGCTTTTCTTCGTATTAGATATTTTTGCTCTTATTTTCGTTGCTAAAAGATAGTGGTCAGAATCTATACTCACCCCTCTTCTGTTTCTGACGTCAAGTATGTTTGAGAAGAGCCTTGCGTCATTAACTCATGATCTATTATGTTTTTCTGTCTGGCGATACCCACGTTCCTTTGTTCGAACCACGTACCAGATATTATCATGTTGTGTGATGCTGCACAGTGTATTAGTTAAGTGCTATGCCCCCCAATTGTAGGGTAATGTTGTATCTCTTGGCCAACTTTCACATTCATGTCCCTCACGACTATCTTTATATCATGTTTTCTATATTCGCTTCTCTTCTCCTCCTTCCTTTTCTATATGTATGTTTGAGAAGTGCTTTTGCATAGTCTAGGTGATTTTGCTTGGAAGTCTAATACATTTTCTCTTATTTTCTTATTCATTATAAATCCAGTTCCCAGAAAATGGTGTTTAGGATACAGTAGGCAGCTATATAATATAGTACAATTCTTTTTTTAGCTTGTTAGTAACTATGTCCAAATCTTTGAATCTGTACATTATTACTTTTCTTACACATTTGAAAACGTTTTCTATAATATCTAAAAAGGTTAAGCTTTTATTAATAAGATAATCTGGTTTCTTGGAAGAAAAATGATGACAATGTTGTAGTTGTATTGGATATTTCTTTTTGTAGTCGCTTGATGCACAGCATTAAAAAGTCTTTTGACAATTGTGAAATGTTCAGGATTTTCTGAACATACTGCAAAGCATAAAGCAAATTCAACATTAGAAAGAATTCATAGACGTAATTTATCTCTGGAATTATAAAAAGATTGTTGCACTCATATCATAAAGTCATTGTTAAATCTTTATTTAAATACGAATTGTAGAAAACCATGTTGTCTAAAACTAATCTCTTGGAAAGACTACCTTTATAAAAATGCTGAAATAGCATACAATGAACCAAAAACTTTCTTTCCCAAAACTACTTCAAGTGGTTCAGAGTTGTTGGCCAACATAATTACATATAAATAACAATATTTTATTAATGATACACTTTATTTTTAATAAATCTTCGCACACATACACACTTTCTTAAATTCTAACACAATAAATTATTCCATTCCGACGAATTTAAAATGAATTCATTTATTACATAAACAACATTCTCGTCTTTTTCAAATTGCACACTATACTATCGGTAAATTTCAAATAATTAATAAACAATAAAAGAAAGTGTAAATTTGTAATGATCTAGACAATTTAAAATATTAAAATCCATTCTACATTTTATCGTTTTCTTGGCCACATAAAACAAAATAATAAAAAAATAACACATGGTCAAGGAACAAAGAAACTTTTTAAAAGTAGGTTTATTTAGAGACACATTGTAATGAGGAAATATTTTTTTTGTGCAGAAACTACTGATTACTTTTTTTAATGGATTTGAATTGAAATGTATTGAAGGTAGGTATTTTTCTTTAAGATTAAAATTTTCTCCTTTTGATGATTTTGTTCATTTTCATAAGCGTTTTAGCGTCCGCTTTTTATCTTTTAAAATTTTTTTCTTTTCCGCTGTTAATTTTTTATCACCCGCATGTTTTTTGGCCAAGGGGCCATCACCGCTTCCTGTTTTACATGCTTTTTGTGTCTAAACAAATAAAATGATTACTTTTTTATACATTTTCCTCACAAAACTTTTTACCTGTGCATGAATTTCCGTCATCATCTTTGCTCTTTGAAAATAATCATCATATTGTTCTAATAATAATTTACCTGCCTCCTCATTTAATGCGGATTCTGCGTTAGGCACAATAAGTAAACACTTTATAGTCTAAAAAAGATTGTTTTTTTAAAATACATTTGTTAAAGAATGTTTGGAAAATTACTAATAAAATGTGTTTGATTCCGAGATCTGGTTTCCAGTCTTTTTTGAGTGTATTAACACAAATTTCACCATTTGATGCAACATTTGGATGGAAAATCTTTGTTATAAAGTAAGCTTTCGGTGGTGATTGAGGGAATTCCTTGCCAAGAGTTAATTTTACTTTGAAAACTCCTCCAGCATATGGTGTACCTTAATTACACAAAGATTAGTTTCAATAAATATCGTGATCACTTCGTAACATTACCTGCAGGCCCCTCAATGAACCCTTGAATATCGGTAACATCCTCATCGTTTATTTGAACTTTAATACCTTCAGGTGGATTACTGACTAGATCCTGCATCTCACGAACGACTTGTCGGATTATTTGGGGCGATAAATTCTCTACGTTATTCGACATCTAACCAAAAATTTAAATGTATTATTTAGAGAAAAAACGTTTTTACGACCACGCTGTTTTTGACGTGATATACGGAAGATTAAGGCGAATGTTTAAGTTTTTATGGACAATAGTGAGTTTACGTACCTTAAAAAACCGTGATAAATGTATATTTACTAAAAGGTTATTGTAAAATAATTTTTTTAATTGAAAACCGTGTACAGCGGACACAAATCTAAAATGTCATATAAGCGGGTACGTTCCGATGTGATTTATTTGAATTTTAACGGTCAAAACAATTACGAACGTATCCTCGAAATCTGTTTATTTGTTTTATAAAACGAAATCTAATTTTTTAATTATTAATAAATTGCTATTTATGACGATAAATCACTTTTCTTATCTATTATTTATTTTTTTTGTTAAATAAGCAATAATTAGTTTAATACATGACGCATTAACTGACTCGCATTTTTCGTTTTTTTAATAATTTTTATTTATATTTATGATTGATAGTTATTTTTTTGTAATTATTAATAAATGAAATTAATAAAACAAATAATTTGAATTCAAATTAATAAAATTGCGTTGTTTAGAAACTGGTACGACGTTTGTATAAAAATAAACTGTCAGTTGTGTAATAACAAAACTTCAAATTGCATTTTCGAAAACATCTATCTTTATGATTCCTTGAAGAACATTTAGAGTAAATTTGACAACAAATTAAACAAAATATTCCGTTTTACAAATTGTATATTATTTAGGTTTGTTGTTTATCTACTACAGTGCCATCTAGATAACGTTGAAACTGTTTTTCAAACAAAAGAAATCGTTGGAATTTGTTGAATAGCATTTGAAGTTTACTGTCAAAGTCGTTTGAGTTGGTCGAAACACATAAAAAACGCACCGGGACAATGGCAGAAGAGGTAAGTTTATGAAGATATTGTAACGATTTTATTCATTCAATTATCATAACCTCAAATTTGTTTTTAATTTGTATTCATATTTTCGTTAGGAAGTGCAACTCAACAAGTTAAAGGAATCGTTAAAAAATTGGAAAGAATTTGTTTTGCCTATCAGTTCCATTTTATTATGGGATAAACAGTGGTATCCTGGAGCTATTGTTGGGGGTAGGTTTTTAATATACTCTTAAAGTAATTGTAGAATAAGTATTTATTTATAAGCACTTATCATAGTTACTTGCAAGTTTCAAGGTTTTTTGTATAAATTATCATTTTTAATCATGAATAAATTGAAGTGGTAAGGTTGTTCTTTAACCTTTCGAGCAGGGCCTTGCCATCCGCTTGTGCAATGTTGACACAGGCACCAAGAGATTTGAGATGCCCTGGCACCAAGATGCGCCTGAAAGGAAAGAAAGGAAAAACAAAAACCCAATAAACAAACACTTTAATTGCTTATTACATACTTAAATAATTGTTACCTAATACTTTTTAATAGATTTTTGGTTTATCTTATTAGATTTTTTTATCTTAGCATAACCCACAACAACTTTTTTCATAGGTGCCAGCAACTCTTAGCTTCTGAGTACACAGTCTTTACAAAGAGTGAAAAAAATAATAAGTCATGGGATCATATTGACCCCACAGTGCACTTAAAAGGTTAAATCATAGAAGACAGTTTTTGGATATTGATTTTTTTTTGTTTATAATTATGAATTGAAAATAGAAAACATTTTTTTTTAAGCTTTAACATTCAGAATTAAGAGTTTACTTCAATTAAATACTTTGGTCATCTATAGTTTATTATTTATGATATGCCAGATCATAACTTCCTTATGACTACTACAGGTATCAGGAATATTTCTGTTTTGCTGAGAACTGTAGTTGTTAAGTATGCCATAAAAATATGAGAAAAACTGCTCAGATTTCATGTATAGATGTCCCAAATTTGATGTCATCATCAGGTATATCTGAATCTAAAAGAGATAGGAAAAAAGTAGTTTACATGTCATGATCTCCTACCTTATATGTGATGAAAACCGCTTTCATGTTTTGTTTTCGCCTATTAAAAATTCGATAAACGCAAACACGGCACACACGAATATCTTGCCTATTATAGTTTTCGAAATTTCTGGTAGTTTTTATGACCCTCAGAAACAGTAGTGGCAGTAATTATCACCCCGAAAAAGTACCTGGACGTGATTTATGATAGGTCCTGCTAGCGAACTAAGTCTTTCTTTTTATTTTATTTGAAATTCAACAAAATAAAATAAATGCAGTAAAGAATCTAAATTTACTTACACTTAAATGATTTTACAAAAAAAGCAAGTATTAATTAATAATATAAAAATTAAAACATATTTTTATAGTCATCTTAGAATAATCATAAATTATTTAAGCAAATGTATTTTTTAGATAGATTTAAATAAACTGTTGTATTTTCACACAAAGTAATGATATTTAAGTTTTTAAATATTGTTATTTGTTATTGATATTTTCGTTAATGTGGACCTGAACAACTCACGCCAGAGTTTGGGGTTCGTAAACTACCTGTATACAATCCCGTCTTTGTTCGTTATATGACTGCAATTAAGTCATAAAAACCACCAGAAATATCGGAAATTATACCAAAGATAGAGTATTGTACTTACAATATTGTATGGGCAACTTTTTACCAATAATACAGTGTCCTAGCAGGAAAATTCTTTCCATGTTTCATTTTTGCCCAAAGCACAACCTTACCATGTATGATATCAGAGTATGCAACCATGTGACATAGGACTGACTTAGTACCACTAACCTTAACATGAATTTAGTCATAGCCTGTAGTTACAACCACGAAAGAAAAATGATCTGCTAATGTTTAAATCCAAATTACTGCTTTGTAGACATAAGAGACTTGGTTCAAAATCATACTCAAGTGGTGACGTGTAATTAATGTCGTGTCGTCTACGTATTGACGTATGTAGCCCTTTCGATTTATTGTATTAGTGTCTGGTTGTTTAATATCGTAGCAATAGATGTTACACAAGGTCGGTGATATAAAAAGGAGATAATAATAGGATAAAGGAGATGGAAGGAAGACGCTATGGAATTTTTTATTCTGAAGTTTAACGTCCATGTATTGCGGAGATACTCGTTTACGATTTTCAAGTATACTACAGGAATTTCCAGCTGTCCCATTTTCAATATTAGATTATGTCCAAGAACAAGGTTGCGGTTTTCATGTCGTGAATTTTAGCAGCTAAAGGATGGATTATTTGGGTATGAAGCCGAATCGGTCTAGAGTCTTAATTATTCTAGAGTTGATAATGCTTTCGAATATTTTTTCGATCACAGGTAATAGGGTAATAGGACGGCAGCTTTGTGGGAGAGGGTGGTTAACACCAGGTTTAAGGATTGTTATCATTATGCCCTTCTTCCATATTGGTGGAAATATGAAATTTTGTACGCAGAAGTACGAATTGTGTTGTGCACTTCTGAGTTAAGTTTAGATTTTTCACTTCTTCCAATCATGAACGTATTTGGACATGTTCAGGAACCTTGTGCAACATTCGTCTATAAATTGTTGGTGTTGAACATCGTAGTCGCAGTTCGATTTGGGAGTTAACTCATTTTGGAAGTGTTGGGCAAGCAAATTGCATTTTTGTTGATCTGTTCTATTTTCTGTGTTGTTATGATATATTGTTGGAATGTCAAAATTTCCAGATCTAATCGCTCCTCCATTTCTACAATTTTGGCCAAGATCTTCTAAATTTGCTTATTCATCATCTGCAAATTGAGGATACAACTTATTCCACGCATTCTTCATCGTCGATTCTTTATTTTCACTCTAACTCGTAGAAATGTTTTTAATTCCATGAAAGATCTTGCTTTTCCAAACGGTTTCATGTGGATTTAAATGTAGTAATCGCCGTTCACTCCAGTGGTTGGATTGTGGTATCGTCTTTGGTGACAAAAAGATTATTTTTTCATCATTGTAGGATGTTCAGCAATTTTAAAGAGGTAAAGGCTAATTTCCTGGTATCTTAGAGTAACCATTAAAATTTGTTACACTCTAGAAGTCATAACAATATTAAATTTATTTCAGGCACCTCAATACTTTTTATGTGTATATGGTTACTGGATCCAAGTTTATTAACCACAGTTTCAATTTTTGGATTGATGATAACCATTAGCGATTACGTGGTGCCATTACTAGCAGCTTCTATATCAAAAGCAGACCTTTGGTGCGAGAAAAAAGATAAACAATTTGAAGAGATATGCAAGATCATGTTGAGGTACTTCAATTTAATGAACGAACGCGTAAATGCCTTTTATGATTTGCGAACAACCAAACCCCGAATGGTAATAACATCTTTAAATTAATTTAAATTTATTAATTTTTTTCGTTTTTAGTATTATGGTTGTACAATATTGGGATTGGTTCTTTTGGCTTGGATAGGAAATAACATCAACAACCTCTTCTTGACGTATCTTTTAGTGTGTGTAATACTTTTAATACCGGGAATGGAACGTACAGGAGCCATTAACACTTATAGCAAATATCTAGCTGTGAAAATATCCGAAATGGCTACAAATGCAAAATCGTTAAAAACGTCGCATACGAAAAAAGATTAAGAGAAAGTTTCAATTATCATGTATATTTAATTTTTTAAGTCGTGTTAACGTCGCGTTTTAAGTTTCTTTTGTGCCTTTATACTTTGTGAAGGAGTTATAGTTTTATTTGTAGTTTTTAAGAACTTTATACCCAAGTATGTGAAAAATGTTTACACGACCTGATCATCATCCTTTATGAAATAATTTGTTATGATGAGAAAAGGTGTTTTTGCTCAACATATCTTATCAAATATGGTATAATTATTTGAGAAGATTGCAATGTTCGTTCTCCCGTTTGTTAGCACAAAATACGTATTTCAATGTAGATATGGATTTGATCTGAATGAAAAAAAGAAGAAGATAATGTGATTAACACTTTAGACTGAGGTGAATGTGATCAAATAACCAATCACGTTTGTTGTTGAAGAGCTATTTATTACAATAAAGAAGTACTTTTCAGTATTCATTGAAATGTTCTTTATTTTTGTGTATATGATAAATGTGCATAATGGAAAAATATCTATTTTCTGATTAGAGAATCAAAATCATAAACATAAAAGATCAAACTAAAACTAGAAATAAACTATTATTTATTTAATGAAATAAAAGCTGATTGGGAAATAACTTATACAAAATTCCAATTTACTAAAAGCGTTACATATGTCATAATACAACGTGAAAATATATATTTCAACACAATTTCATTGAATAAGAATTCAATTAATCTTCGGGACTAAAATCATCTTCTAATTCGTAAGTTTGGTTAATAAACGAAGCGGGGTTAATGATTGAGGGGCCAGGTTGAGGTTGAAGATGTTTCATTAGACAGGATCGCAGAGTTTGGACACAAACGGAAGGATTTAGCTTTTGCATTTGTTGTAAATCCTAAAGCAAAAAAAATTAATGTGATATTCTAAGCATTTTTAGCATGATGAAATTTTAAACCTTTAGAGACTTTTTTGAGCACAATTTTATGGTGCGATCTTTCGTGGACGCCGTTTCTTCATCGTCAGCGGCATCTCTACTTTCCGAAATGCTATAATCGTATATTGAACGTTCTTCGATCGTCGATAAATCCATTTCCATTTCGCATTTTTCTATTTCTCGTAGTTTTTGTTCCACTTTACTACAATGTTTAATGTTTGTTGGTGATGGTCTTTGGTGTTGTTTTAAATTTTCGATTTCTGATGCTAATTTTTCAATGTTTGTGCTGAAAATAAAACTTAAAAACTTAAATTATTAAAAAAAAATTTTGGTAATTTACTTCTTTTCTTCTAAAACATTGTGAGTTTTTAATTGGGCTTCTTTTAAATGTACAATAGTATCTTTTAGAGAATCTACTTCCGTTAAAACGTTCATTAAACAACCATGTAATTGTTGGATTTCTTGGTGAGGACTATCACGTGAAGCTGAGGAAGGTTGAAAAGACAAAGATGGGGATTTCGCGCAAACTTCAATATGGGTATCATGGGCTTTATGAATGTCTTTAAATGAATCGTTATTTTTTATTATTTCCAAATTGGCGTTTAACATCGAAAGATAATTTTCTTGGACTAATTCGGAATATAATTCTGAAGAATTTCTTCGAGGAGAATTTGGTCTTGGACTAAAAAAAAATTAAATTCAATTCAAAATTAATAATTAAAATACAGTATTCTAGTCAAAACCTGGGTTTTCTACAAGAAACGCTTTTTGATCTTTTTCCTCTCGCATGTAATGATGGATCATAATCAGCGGCTGAATTTGATAAATCATCGGGTTCAACGATTTTGACATTAGAACCACATCCGTTGCGTTCTGCGTAATAGAGTTTAATAGTTTCAATTTGCCATTGCAACTTTTTTATTGTCTGCTTTTTTTCTTCTACTTCTTTTTGTAATTCAGAGTTTTCTTCGCGTAGTTTTAAAACTAACGTAGCTCCATGTTGAGATAACATCTTTTTTATACTATTTGCCTATTTGATTCAAATTATAATGTTTAAAAAAAAAATTGGTTAACTTCTTACTCGTTTAGGGTCAAGTACCATCTCCAATTGCTTATCCTTTTTGCGTATCTCATCCTGCAATTTTCTTACTTTTACCTTATAAAGGTGATTATCATCTCGAACTTCATGAAGTTGCTTTTTTAATTCATGCACTTGATACTGTAAATCTTCAACCTTCATATAAAAAGAGGCTTTAGTTCAAAAAAAATTTTATTAATGCTATCTTACCGTAGGTCTAAACATTTTCCGTTTTGAGCTTACAAAACCTTCATGTCAACAAAATTTCGGTTTAAATTTCTGTTAATTTAGAATTTTCTTAATAACTTTTTATCGAAATTTAAGGAAGTGTCGAATTTAATTTGTAAAGAAATTAAAAGCGGTTTACCGGAAGGTTAAATTTGGAAAATGTAACGTTTTTAAGGTGTTATAAAAATACTTAACTTTTCTAGTGAATTTTGACGCGTAACCTAAAATCTCAAAATGTTTGATCGATAATTTGTGATGTCAAACAAGAAAGACATGATTATGTTAATTACTGTCCTATTTTAATTTTGTTTTATGGCTAATCATTATAAATACAATAATAATATAATATAATATATAATTTACAGGAAACTGTAAATTTAATTTCTTTGACGACACTAAAAAAAAGTTTATTTTTAGTTTTATTCTAAAACAATAAGAAATAGACCTATCTAAACCCATATTTTTGTAAAAATAACGAATTTAATAAGCGAATAATCAATGGTTGTTGCCATTTAAAAAACGAAAATTGTCATAATATCTCAAAATCTAAAACCGAAATTTTTTTTTTTGACTACGTCATCAAATTCTCTGTAAAAAGGTGTCCATATAATGTTTTAGTTGTAATACTCCACCTATAATAATAACCAAGATAATTGCACTTGCTGCTTTTACGATATTTTCAATTTTGGCCTCTAGGGGAAAAACAAAAGATAGCGCTTTGAGGCTTTTGGCATTAGCAGTTTCTCCAAAAACGAGATCATGACATGTAAGCTACTTTTTTTCTAACTCTTATAGTTTCCGAGATAGCCATTCGGACATCGAATTGCAACCACCCTGTACATATAAATAGAATAATCATGAAAAATACTTTGATATTAAAATAGTATTATTTAAGTATTTGCCTAACCTATCCTTTGATATGGACTCCTTCCGCTGATAGAATGAAAGTCATTCGGCTTGCGCATACAACATATCAATCTTATTATTCCACGTGGATAATAACCATGATGCTCTGATCTCAATAAAAGTTACTACTTTCATGGAGGCATCGTGGTTAGCGAGGCTTACAAACCCTCCAGCATGCCTATGAAGTGGGTATATTTGTATCTTGGTTATTTATACACAAATATCAAAGTATACTTTAAAGCCCGCCTCACAGAACAACTTAATAAGAAGTAAGTGACGTTTGGGATACAGGTAAGTACACCACACACCAAATTGTAGCATAATCGTTGTATACAGGTGTTCATTTCAAAACTTTCCACCTCAATTTCTGTAAATCCGGAAGTTTAAAAAGAAAATCGCTGAAATAGGTAAAGAATAAAACCAAGGGGGACAACTTTTTATGCAAAAATTGACTCACTCACTTCAACCCCCCGCCGCCAGGAACCAACCCCTTAAAAATCTTAAATGGAAAGGGGTGTCAAGTGATACCTAATTTTAAAGGTCTTTTACACAATATCCTGAAAAAGTTAATGTATGGGCCGGCATTTTGGGAGACCAAGTGATTGGTCTAATGTTTATCGATGAAAATTTAAACGGCGAAGTGTACTTGGATATGTTAGAAAATACTATCAATCCACTAATTACGGAAGCAAATAAACCTAAAAGAAAAGAAAAATGAAACAGAAATCGTTTTTTCTAAATATCTCTGACAGACGCCTGGCAAGCTAGCCAACGTAGGTATATCATTGTCAAAATAACCTAAATATCAAAGATTGCGGATTGCTCCGAAATAATAAAGGTTTAATGGTCGTTGTAAAAACGAACATGGTAATTTAATTTTATAAATTAATAATAAAAGATTACTTATTCTTGCTTTTAAGAAGGTGATTAAAGTTTTTAATATTAATTAAAGCGGGAAATTTCGAAAACGAATCGAACAATTTAAAAAAAATAAATACTAACATGTAGTACCTTAAAAGACCTTTAAAATGAGGTATCACTTGACACCCCTTTCCATTTAAGATTTTTAAGGGGTTGGTTTCTGGCGGGGGGGGGTTGAAGTGAGTGAGTCAATTTTTGCATAAAAAGTTGTCCCCCTTGGTTTTATTCTTTACCTATTTCAGCGATTTTCTTTTTAATCTTCCGGATTTACAGAAATTGAGGTGGAAAGTTTTGAAATGAACAGCCTGTATATTCCAGGATTAAGAGACTCGAAATCGGAATACTCTGGATATCTCGCGTCCTAATTGCGACTAGTAAAGAACGTCACAATAGTTTTGAATGAGATAGTACCGTACTGTAATTCTTTCAAATAAGTTTGTTCCAAGGAACAACCTTGTATTGTTCAAATCACATTTTTTCTTTCGAAGAATTGTTTACTCTTAAACTGAAGCACTTCGCGATTACAACTATGAAATTTATCACTTAAAGCATTGCAGAATCAATTTAAACTAAAAGATTTGATTAATAACTAATAAATATTGAAATATTAGCTTTAGAGATAAAATGGTGCAAGGTACAACACCTTCCCCTATATAAGGAATAGTAGAGGGCCAAGAATCGAATCCCTATGGCACTCTTGTTACATTTACAGTATTTGACGTTAATTTACCTGTTTTTACAGTTTGGGTGCTACGCATCAGAAATGATTGAATCAAATTTATGGTAATACAATTCACATTATATTAATTGGAACCTGGTCATCATATTGCAGCGCCTCGGCTTTATCAACTAAGGTTGTAGATCTTTTGACTAATTAACCCGAGGTCGTTTTTGGTCGAGGCTCAGTAATTAACATTATATCAATCTAAAAGTGGTCATCATATTGTGACGACTATCTTGAAAATAGTTTAGATCGAATGATTGGGTTGAACATCCCAAATGAACAAAACTTCAGAAACGTAGGTAGAATGGAATCAGGGTGGTGCTGACTTTTTGACGGACACTATATGAATGCAGTTTGTTGAACGTCCGTACTAGATTTTGCATCTCGAATATATACTGACTGTGACAGAACATTTTGGTTTCACTACTTGTTTTCCTGTTGTAGATGTTGTTGCTACCACTCGATATTTATGCATAATTAATATAATCTTTTGTTCTTCCGTTGTGTGTGTTGGATATGAATCTAGTAAACGGAGAAGTATCGGAAATCCGTTATGAAACCGGATTTAGCCATAAATAGTGGCATAAAGGCGTGTGATGAACGAACATCGTGCTTTGGCAGTTGAAGTCTACTTGTGGAACAACGTGTCTGTAGTATGTTAAATGTTAGCGAAACGTAATCTGTTATCAATAAAGAAGGTAATAAGCGTACGTTTCAAAAACCATAAAATATTGATGCATAATTATGTAGTCACCTCAACAATCCGCTCGTAAATATGCGAGCGACCTTCATTTTCATCCGTATAAGATAATGTCAGATTATTGGAATTGCCGTATTTTAAATAAATAGGTGGAATCATGACCCACGGTGACAACCAGGAAAGCATTCCAATTGATGTTTCATCATAATCATACAGATCCAGTTTGTATGAAAAAAGAAAGCTAGGAATGTAATTAGATAAAGTAGTACAAACGAAATCAGTGGTTAGAGATCGAATTTTTATACGATGGCAATATTTTTCCTTTATGAAGTGTTAAATCTCGATCTCATTCATCCCATTGCTATTTCATTTCGGAAGTTTATCCTTTTTGTGTCTTACTAACGTCGTTGATATCGATTTCTAAGTAAAATTGATTTACAGCAATTTATTTTCAAGCCAAATTGTGTTTGTCTGCCTTCTCTGCGATAATCATATCTCCCAAATTCTACGCCGTCATGGTTCGGTTATTTTTTTCAACACCTTTTCATGAATCAATCATATAGATATATTTAAAACAAACAATGAAACTAATATTTTTATCTACAAAACAGTGTAATATAAGAAATCAACGTTTTTTAATAATAGGGCCGAATCGAAAGTGACAAGTAGTAAAAAAAATTAACATTTTATTGTTAGTTACAAAACTGTAAAGTATTCTTTTGCTGTTAAAGCACGTAATATCGCGATTAATATTTTTCTTTATGATGAATTAAATTTAAAGTAGATTATAGGCTGTAAGAAAAATAACTAAAATATATTTTTTTAGCAAAAAAAAGCAATTTATTGATTCTAAATGTTACAACGTAGTTACAATTGAAAATTGCAAAATCACAAAAAAACGCACTTGAAAAAATAATTTATTTGAATTCCAAATAATCTGGCACATCATCTGTTTGTAATGGATCCAATTCATCAACGAAGGAGTTTTATACCACCTAAAAAAATGATAAAAATTGCATTTCAAAACTCAAGAAGAAAATATTTTTATATTTTGTACCCACCGCAATTAAGAAAATACGAGATAACAAGAAAAAGAATCTAAAAACTACATTCTACCTTTTTTTCTTGAGGAAATAGAAAACAACGTTTCATACATACTATTTTATTTAATTGATTTCTTTATTTAAATAATTGTTTTCTAAACTAATCTGAATAATTTATTTTATAAATACCTGTTTTTACTGTGGAAATACCTCCACAGCTTAAATCACTAATAAAAAATAATATTTAAACAGTGAACAATCTTGTGCTAGTTAAATTATTACTGTAATTTATTGATATTAAAAATTCTTTAAATACTAAATTAACATTTAAACATTTATAACACCGTTTATAATCATTTTTTTTTACGATTTTAACCAAAATTTACCACTTGATCGTATACCTTTTACTTTTGATTGCTTCTTAGCTTTTTCACCACTAGAAGAAGGCTCTCTATTATCTGTAGCCATTGCTTCTTCACTACCTTCTGCACGTTCCTGAAGTTGAGTCTTTAATGTTTTCTTTATATTAATTATCTAAAGAATATGATTATAATTAAAATAAATTAAATATGGTTAAAATTAATTTACTTCTTGTTCAATATCTGCTTTTCTTTGTACATTACGATTTTTCTCTGAATTTGCTCTATGTATTTGAGACTCGACGCAAGATAAAACTCCTTCGCAAGCTGAACACCAATCTTGAAGACATTGAACAATAACATTAATGTCCTCTGCGCGAATATCTCTTCCAATAGCGGAGTCAACTTCTAATTGAGAGTTCTTTTGGTCTAATTTTCCATGGATTATATCTAAAAAATAAAATTAAAGAATTAGTGAGGTTATGTTTAATTTTTTTTAATTGATTTACCTGCATAAACAGCTTCTATTATTAAATCTTCCAAATCACGAACGTTTTTTATATCCAATTCTTTTAATAAATTCGTGTATGGTATACACTAAAGTTTAAAAAAAATTATTTTGAGGTTATGTTACAAAGGAATTTTAAAAATACCTTAGATTTTGTTGCCAAAGTAACGATAGTTAAATGTTGTAACTTTTTTTGTTGACTAGGTGTTAATTCTAAATAATTAGCCTTATTTAATAAGTACTCGCTATAAGTTCCGTACGCAAATAAATTCAATGTATTTAAATATATCTTATTTGGGGTACTCTCCAACTACAATTTAAATTAGTTAATATAACATCAATCATTTTAACGGTTACAAACCTCCTTTATATTCGGCATATCAAGTAATTCGCCGAAAACATAAATTCCTGGCACCTCCAGGACTTGTTTTATCAATTCTAAACATGCCGAACCTTTCGCTGTTTTAGCTAATAGTATAAACTGTTCTAAAGGATTCGATGAGTGAGTATTCTTTTCAACAACCATTTCAAATCCTTTAGAATCTTGTAATAATCTTTAAACTAAAATCAAACTGGATGATTACACGTCTATTTTGACAATTACTGTCAAACTGATTTTATTATATAGACAACCCAACATACAATGTTTATTAACACTTTATTTATGAAAATTACTTTATTAATAAAAAAAAAGTACTTAGAAACTTAGTTTAATTATTAATTTGGTTGGAGATATTATCCAGGATTATATTTATAAATGATTTAAATAAAATATTGGTTTAAATGTAATGCGTATATTGGGTTGCCTATATTTCGTAACAAAGAATTTAATGTTTTATTAAAAAATTAATGTTTTAATGAAGTTCTTATTTTTCTTCCCTAGCGTGCCTTTATCGCGGGGTTGAGGGATGGCCTCAAAACTATCTTCTGCAGTTTTGCACTGTTGCCAGCAAGACCCTTGAGTTGCTGCATAGTCTTGATCAATCTGTGTTACTGTCTTTCCCCATGTTGTTGTCTGCCTCCTTATGGGTTACCCTGCGTGCTAATCTCCATGTACATCCGTGGTTTTCTTACTTCTCTCATTCTTCTTACGTAGCCAAACCACCTATCCAACCTTTGTACATACCCACAATTTACAATTCATTAAAGGGTGCACTGGACTATGGCTATGGCTTATCACAGAAATGTAGATCCATATTGTAACCGTCGGATTTAATCCCCATGTAGTCCCAATTGCCCTTCGACATTGGGTGAGTACAATCGTTGCCTTTTTGGTTTTGCCACTAATGTGTAACTTCTAAGTCAGTTCTTCGTCCAAGATATTTCACTTCTGGAGCAAAGGTTAATGGACATTATTTGGACAGTATTAATTCCCTTCTATTTGTGGTCCATAGGTAAGTATTGGCTCAATGAACACTTTATACATCCTTGTCTTGGCCTTTAGGTTTACTTCATCCTTCTAAACACAAATTGTGTTCCTGATTTTTTCACTCAGCTTGCTCGTTTGGTGTATTGTCGTGCCCAGATATTGATAACTGCTAACCTGTGTGAGAAGTTGACCATCACATTTGATGTATATGTTATCTACCTGTTCCTCTGTCTTCGTTACCACCATAACATGACTCTTTATTCAACATCATTTCACTTTGTGTGTAAAATGATATTTACTTTTAAAATGTTAATAAAAATTATTTTGAAATGTAATATGAGAAAATTTGTACGTTAAAAGATTAAAATAGAATCGAATTCGTTTTATTTTTATTACTAAAGCTGGCGTTTGAATTATTTCTTAAGTGAATTGAACACCACCACTTGGAAACACGGTGGAAAATTAAAAAATTCCGTTTACCCCTCAAGATTTCCTGAAGTTTGAATGCAGCGACGATTAAAGTTCTATTAAAATTTCTGAATAGGAGATAGAGAATCTCGGCGAGTGTTCAACGACGCGGCGCAGCGTCCGGTTGTTGACGGTTGAAGTGAAAGACATCAAAGAAATGAAAATTAATCTTGGTGTAAGAGTTGTGTGTATAATAAGTGGCATATTAAAATTTCGTAGTTTAACAAAAAATAAAGTAAAAAATGTGTTATATCTATCTATAGAGTCGAATGGAATTTCTTTGTAAAAAAAAACTTTATTTGTTTTGTTTTGTTTAGTGTTGTTACAAAGAGCTGTTCATCAACCGTAACTCGACGTATTCTTGATCTTCCGGGACACATTTTTTACTTCCTTTCCTTTTACTTCTAGTAGCCCCAAAGGATCTTTATCTTCCCCATAGGGTGTTTATTTAAAACATTTTTTTTATTGACATTTAACTTTTTATTACGTTAATTAATTTTGGTAATGTAACAAAAAATAAAATAAAAGAATGCCATATTAAAAACATATTTATTGAATCGACGCGGAAATCCACCCTTCTACGCAACAACCACAATTTTTATCAAAAACGTAGTAATCGGGACAAGTGATTTTTGGACTTTTTCTTTCAATAAATCTGAAATGTGATATTTAAAATAAGAGTTAAATAAAAAACTATGTAATTTGTTACCTGGTGCTTTCATATAAAGGAGAAGCTCGAATCCCAACAATAGCTAAGAGAACAAATATCAAAATTTTTGGAAATATCATTGTGTTTAGATTAATGTTTAAAGTAACTTTAAATGTATCGAGTAAATATTATGCACTTAAAGAGATAACATTTAACATTGATATTGATAACGCATAACTACTTATAGACTTGAAAACAAAAACACGATTAATTCATAAATATAATAACTTTAATATCTCCCTGCAAAAAACTTTATTTCCTTCGTCCATTGTTGTTACAAAAAGCCGTTCATCAACCGTAACTAGACATATCCTTGATCTTTCGGGACACATTTTCTACTCCCTTTCCTTTTACTCCTAGTCGTAACGTTCCCCATAGGATATTTATTTAAAATGGTTGACGTCGTTTTTTGCCGGACCCGTATTTATTTTGCCCTTTTAGTTTTCATGCACGAACCGATTACGAAAACCAAGGAGGAAACAGTTTATTTATGGGATCTCTGTAATCTTCCTAAGCTTCAAAGGAGCCTTGTTTCAATCCTTATATAAACACTCTGTATAACTTACAAGGGTCGGGTAAATCCGATCAAAGGTCGTGTTCTGACTGGACAATCCTTATCAAGGGATTCACAGAAAATTAATTGCTCTTTTGGTGTAGGTATACTACTGAATCATTTAGATATTAATTAAAGAGGATTTTAAGGGTATATATTCTAGTTGTAAAAGGGATGGATTAATTTATTTTGAAACCATAATAACTCATTTTGAACATATTCAATAATTTGTATGTAAAATTTGAATTTTTTTGCGTAAGATTCTTTATTATTAGAGGGATCTAAATTGAGTTGATACAGAACGCACCTAACTTGGTGCTGGAGAGGTTTCTGAATGACGAAGAAATTCCGAAGGCTTGGAAAAAAGGATGTTGTCCATAAAAATCCTTAAAGAAGGCGATGGCAAAAACAGTCTAACAGGCACGAATTTACTAACCAGACTATATGGCTGAATATTGAAAAACTAAATACCGGAAAAATGGGCATCATTTGGAATGGAGGAACAAGCAAGTTTCAGAGTGGGAAGAACAGAGAAAGGTAAAATCTTCGGTTTAATTCAAACCACAGAAAAGAAAGGAGTTATAACTCATTTGTTGATAGAACTAAGGCGTATGAGACCATACCTAAAAAATGTGGTAAGTTCTATCCTAAACATCAATAAATGATACATTAATTAAGGTAGTACAAGAACTATAGGTCTGCGGCAACGCAGTAGTTGTATACGATCGGTGGAGTTGGTCAAAAATAGTGCAAAAACATAGTAGTAACTTTGCGTAGGCGATAACACCATACTTAAAACGAACAATATACCTATCTGGGAAGAAAAATGGATCACGGTGGGAGATGTTATGTGGAAATTTGATTACAAAAGGGCAAAAACATACCAATGCCAATAAAGTTTGAAAAAAATTGGAAAAGAGAAAACAGTAATCTTCATACCTGTGGTGCTGTAAGAATGCGAAACCTTTCAGACCTACAGATGAGCAGTCGGCAAGACCATTTTGGTCAGACTGCAGAATACCGACATACGCAAGATGATGGGGATGCACACAACAATAGTCGATGAAGTGTAAAGAAGACAATTACAATTAGGGGATGTCTAAAGCATAATTCAAGACGGGAGCTACCCATAACACTTTTATTTTAAGTGGTATCGAAATCTGAAATTTGTTCTTTTTACTTATATTTATTTATATACAGTTTTTTGCGATGTGCTACAAACTTATAAAATTAAAATAGCCTATAATCTAGGATCTTTTGTTAAAACCAAGAATTTCGTATAAATTTAAGCGGTACTTTGAGTTATTTTAAATTATGATGACACAGAACGAATATTTTATACTTTTGACATAGGTTTATTTCATTTCGTGTATCTTACGGCGTCGACGTCCACATCATATTTACGATATGACCAGTTTGAACTTACGAGGGTTCCCTTTTCCTGGTCATAACGTGGAAAACGCTTGATCGGCGTCACCTATGTTTGAATTTGGACTATAAAAGGGCTGTATTCCGGGCTGGATATTGGTCGGGTGGTTTTTATTATATCACTTCGTTGCGTGGGCATAAAAAGAAATCCATGAAGAAAAAAAAAACTGCGTTTCATATTATATAAGTGTAGATATATTAAATTTTAAAATATTAAAAAATATCGAAAGGATAAAAGCAGTTTGTCTCATTAAATTTTGTAACGTCACGCGTAAAAATTAACCTCGGTTTTATAACCCCAAGGGTTGAAATTTGTTGTAAAACTTTCTACTTTTTATCAACGTTGGATATGGCTGTATTTGCTCGGTCGTTGGAGTAAATATACTAAATATCACTCAAGGGAATTATGTTTGAAGTCCCTACAGTACAGTAAATAAATAAATGTCTTTGTAATTTTTGATTATATAAAAACGAAAAAACTAAATATTATATGTTCATAAATGTACATATTAAATAAATCTAATAAATATTAGGTCTGTATAATACAGTACGTGCTTGAGACGTCGTTCGATTAGAAGGGAAAGGGTTTTCGCTTTTGTTTGGGACCAAGTTTTGATGAGAGATTTAGTGCTTTATGTGTCGTAGATTTAGTGACCGGTTTATTTATGTTACCACAAACGCCCACCTCGTCTATGCTGTACTGTTATTCAATTCACTAAAGTTGTTCCCCATAATACAACAAGCGTAGGTAAATTTTCAGCGTGGGCGGAAATTCAATAAGCACCGGATTGATTTTACGTAAAGTTTTTAATCGCTTCTGCATATGCATTATAATATATTCTAGTATTAAATTCAAATAGTTAAAGCCATTTCATTAAATCGAATTACTATGATGATTTGATGCAACCAGCAGCTCAAGGGCAATCAGGCAATTAATTGGCAATCAGCAATTCCGTGAACCCAAAGACAAGTTTTAGTTCAACAGCTTTTTTTTACATTTTTTCATTTATGAGGGTTTATAGATTATTTGCCGGGAACATAGTTGCCAATCTACCATTTAAAAAACTATATGCGTGCTTGCACCTAAGCGACAATTAAATATGTTACAAAAATTCATTTTAAAATTTTTAATTTTCTAAACTTCTATCGTCGAAGTAAAATTGATTTTGATGCTTGCAATATTTCTAAAACAGTAATTTGTAAAAAGTTAACCATAACGAACGTCTTTGTTTCGTTAAAGTTAAGAGAAACCGTCACTTTGCTAAGTTTAGTTTATTCTTGAGTACTTCTTGTTATAGAGGCCTTTGAGGTGGTCTGAATTTCTGCAGCTGCTTTCGGTTTGAGGACTAGTTTCCAAGTATAAACTCAACAAGTTTCCTCCTATACCTCCGTTCAGCTATTATTTCACGTAATCATTTTCAGTGTAACAAATCAATTGCTTTTGTTGTGCAAATAGAGAGCGCTAATTGGGTAACAAAAGAATTGTTTTCTACTGGAAATCCGAATTGCGGTAATTATTGGAGAAGTTGGTTGCAATCTTCTTGTTGGTAACGTTTTCTTTTCATCGGGGGTTTATAGATTACTTGTGGAACTTCTGAGCTTTTTGATGTTCCGGATATTACTTGGAGAGATGCATCGACCTAAAAAATTTTATACTTTGAAAAATTCTATCGTGACTTTTTGTCATTTCCCTCAAGGAAGCTAAAAGACGTTTCGTAGAATATCGAAAGGATGAAAAAATAATGGGAAAGCTCTCTAAGGATTTAGCTTGCAACTTGCATCGTTTTCCTTTAGACGACATATACGAAGTATATCAATCCCTATATGTTTTATAAGTTTGCCGTTTGTGGACTCGAGTGTCGCACAAATCGATTTCGTTGTCAACTTTTCCTCGAAGAATATTAAATTACTGTCTGGCGCAGGCAGTCTTTGAATCGATAGTCTCAAACACACCTTCGATATTTAATAACATCTTTACACTAAAAGTATAACATTTTTGTTTATCCGACTTATTAGATTAATAACTTGATGATTTAACTTTATCGAACTTTCCCAATATTGTTGTCATGCCAACCAATTAATAAACTGTGGAAGAACCATTCATTAAAATTACGCTTTGTCCCGTGAAAATGGATAACGCCATTATATTGTAGGATGTAGTTAATAACGCGATAGGTTTATAACTGTCATATTATGCGTATGCATAAACTTTATAAATTATGGTAACACGATAGCTGGGGACCTGAATACATTGGCTGTGCCATTTGATGAAGCTGTCAGATAATATAAATTATTGGTCTTTGATTAAAACCTTGATTGAAATGTATCGATTGCAATATTCTATAATTTATTCTAATTAGCTTAACACCCACATTAATAAATACCAATTAAACAATAAACGTAAATTTTAAACTTTATACAAAAAAAATTAACTAATAAAATTTTATGAATTTTAAAGTTTTACTTTATTCAACTTCCTTTTAATTAAGTTATACGGGTTTCATTGAGCCACTAATTAAATCCAAATTTACGGACCACTGATGTTCTCGACTCCGAGATTGCGCTCTATTTAACGTACGAAATGGAATGCATTTGATGTGCTTACTAAATTTTGAATTTTAATAATCCGCTTTATACAGCCTTCAAACAGCGAGACCTTTAATCTCCTATAGAAGCCGGTTCCACAATGTAACGACAAAGTCCATTAATGCCTCGATGCGGTGGTGCTTCGGATAAGCTTTAATACACGAAACTGTTTCTGGTTACAACTAACTTTATCTGACGCGAAAAATTAAAACTTGTGCAATGGTCCTAAGGTCTTCGCAGTAAAACGAGCCGGTCGTAAAGACCTAATCACCCGCGGTTCCAGTTAAGACCCCTTTTTGCTATTGTCGCCACATTAAAAAAGTTTTAAGTACCCATAATGTGGAGCTCTCGAATACTCGAATCCTACAAAACTCAATTTGAAAACTCAAGGATTGTTAAAAAAGAAATATTCATCCAAGAAAAAGCACTTGTGTAAAGTTTTTATTTGTTTTAATATCATCCGAATATTGCTTTTCACAATAATATGATTATCTTTATAACCAAACATAAATCTGCAAAAAGAAGTTATTTGCATTGGCATATTCTCCATTTAATATTTTATTCTAATCTTTATTATGTTTAATGTTACATAATGTTTT